AGCACTGCTGAGGACCCTTGCGACTCGGGAGACGGTGTTTGGAAAGCTTGAGCCCCGTCGCACTGGAATCATGTTAAACAAGCCCTTGCTGGTGGAATCCCTGATCGTGTTCATCGTTGTTCTGTGCGTGCACACGGTGGTGTGGGACCGCTACTCCTGGTGTGCTCTCGCTCTTGCCATCCAGGCTTTCTATGTCCAGTTCAAATGGGACCATCTGCTCCAGGTGGGTGGAGCTGTGTTCCAGTTCCGTACAACGGCCAACAGCGGCCTCCTACCAGCTAGCATGGTGGTCCCCTTGTTGGGGATAGTGATGAAGGAGAGATGCCAGGCTGCTGGCATCGTATTCTTCGAACGCTTCGGCATAGTTGTAGCCTCCACGGGCATGCTCATTGCTCTCTTTCTGTCTGTAATAGCAGTTGGCATCACAAAACCTGTGCCAACCAACACCTGCATACTTACTGGTATCGCCGGCAGTATAATTATCTATACCATGAAGCACTCTTTGGCGGTTTCAGAAGTGATAGAAGTCCTAGAAGTGCTGCTAATTTTTGTCTACCTCAGTATGATCTTGCTGTACTTGTTGCCTCGATGTTTTACTCCCGGAGAAGCATTATTAGTTATCGAGGGTATAAGTTTTGTGCTCAATCAGCTCATTAAACGCTCACTGAACGTAGTCGAGAGCAGAGGCGATCCCATAGACTTCTTCCTTCTGGTGACAGTTGTCGGAGTTGTTCTTCTTGGGATTATTTTCACTGTTCTCTTCCTTTTCATGGACTCGGGCACCTGGATCTCCTCCATGTTTTTCCACAYGATGACAGCAGTGTTGGGCCTGGGGGTCATCATGCCTTGGCTTTACCGGCTGATCCAGAAGAATCCTTTGTTCTGGCTGCTCCAGTTTCTATTTGAGACACAGACAAGACTTTGCCTCCTTGTATACTGGACCTTGTTGGCTGCTTCCGCATGTGGCGTGGTTTTCTACCAGAATGCTAAAAGATCATCTGAATCTAAGAAACACCAGGCCTCAACCATAACCAGGAAATATTTCCACTTCATTGTGGTAGCTACTTATGTCCCTGGGCTCATCTATGACCGCCAGCTTCTCTACGTTGCTGCAGTGTTGTGTCTGGCAGTATTCATCTTCCTGGAATACATTCGGTACTTCAGGATCAAACCATTTGGGCAAACCCTTAGGCATTTGCTGTCTCTCTTCTTGGATGAACGAGACAGCGGACCTCTAATCTTGACTCATATTTATCTTCTTCTTGGCATGTCCCTCCCTGTGTGGTTGTTCCCAAGACCTTGTGCTCCTAAAGGTACCTTGTCTGGAGAAGGAGCTTTGGTCCCCTACTCTGGGGTGCTGGCAGTAGGGGTAGGAGACACTATGGCTTCAGTTTTGGGCAGCACAATGGGGGAAATCAAATGGCCAGGAACAAAGAAGACCTTTGAAGGGACAATGACAGCTATTTTTGCCCAGATCATTGCTGTGGCTCTAATTCTCATCTTTGACAGCAGTGTGAATCTGAACTCGAGCTATGCCTGGATCCTGGGGTCTGTGAGCTTAGTTTCTCTTTTGGAAGCTTATACGACCCAAATAGACAACCTGCTGTTGCCTCTCTACCTCCAGATAATGTTAATGGCTTAGAAGCATTTCCAGAAAGGAAGGTTTTCTCCCTTTTTAGAGGAAARACAGCAATAGAATGTGCACTGTATTGAGAGATCAAAGCCTATCTAAATACTGTGTTTGGTACAGCAGGTAAAAACTGTTAAACAAATGGAAAAACACTAATTTTAAATAAAGGCTCTGTTTTGGTCTCCTGTTTCTCCCTCTGCACCTTCCTCTCTACAACAGTGAGGTGGTTTATCATCTCACAGGAACACAATTTGCTGACTAAACCACAAACACCATCTCCAAGTCTCCTCTGSGTAGCCAGAGAGAATAGAAGAAAAAGAGGTAAGTCAAGTAGAGGGGGAAAAGAATGATCAAATCTCCCCTATTTTGCTACCTTTGTAGTCCATTACAGCCAATTTATAAAACTTATTCCACTGAGTCCTGCTATCTCTATATGACTGCACGAATGAACTTCTCTTGTTTCCATATAAGCACTATTTAAAACACACTTTAAATGCATGCTGTAATGAGGGTGGTCCCTTTCTACACCACACCATAAGCCATATTATTGTATTGCAGTACATTAATATGACTTCAAATAGAGTAGCTATAAAGACCAACTTTATCAGCTGGGGATGGAAGTGTTGGAGAGTATAGGAGACAATAATAAATAAATTTCAGACAATACTGGCAAGAGTCAAGTAGTTCAGTCTTATAAGGAAAGTGGTTTAACCTTTACACGATTTTGAATTCTGAATTCATGTGGAGCACTGCTTAATAGAGAGTTTTTTCTTTTTCCTCTGAAAAACTAATTGCACATTAAATGTGAGGGCAGAAAGTATGTTAAAGCCAGCATCTTTCTCTACTACTGCACTCCCAGCATTTTTTCAGCTTATGTTGCCATGAAGTAGTTTTCCAGCTAGCTATTTAATCAAAAATCATTTATGAGGATAGTTTGACTGACAAAATGAGCAAAGCCACCTACTTTTGTCCATTTAATTACAATTATAGCTATTCTATAAAAAAATACATTTAAACATTTCTGTCTTTAGATTCACTTTTTGCCAAGGTTAGAGCAATGTGTTAGCTCTTATCTTCCCTTTCCCCTTTCATTTTCCTGGGAGAAGCCTAAGCATCAACTTGCATTCAAGAATTCCTGTTTGAAGGACGGAATTAATGTCTAACACTACTTACTCATATAGAGGAATGACAGTAGATGTCAGGGGAAAATTTCAGTGCAAATCCAAGATACCTTAAACAATCCTCTCATATAGCCCCAACCATAAGATATGTCTTATGGGTGAGAATAAGACCAAGGGATAGGGTAAAATAAGCCAGGGACAGCAAAAAGATGACAAAACCGGCCCCAGAGACTATTATAGGTTGCACTTGAGACTGGCACAAGCCATGACTTGAATAGCTGAGAGGCAGCATTGCCCAACTCCTTGSCTGGGTGCGACTTCGGAGGATTTCAATAAATGATATTTTCAAGTACTTGTGCTAGGAAACCAGACTCAGTAATTGTTTGGGACAATTTTCCCCTCACACATAACCATAAATCYGGCAAATTCAGCTTAAAATTTTCCTTTTTTTTCTTTTTCTTTTTAAATACACTTGCAGTAGCAGTTTTTCTAAGTGGCAGGTGGTGTGTAAAATTGAGAGGACAAACCTTACTCAGCAGAGAGCTGCTATTCTGTAAGATGAACTACTCCAGTGGGAAGATATGGAAAATTGTTTCTGCATCATGATAAAACTCAACAGAAAGAGGTCAGAGATGATTTATAGACTCCTGAAGTCATAAAATAGCAAAGTCAGTCACTCCTGTAGCTTTCAAACAAACTAGAAAAGGCAGGAAGGGACAGCAACCCAAACTTGGTACCAGCAGCAACCTGGCACTCACTGCAGATGCCCATGTGCAGCTTCCTCAAACCTATTACAATAATTTGGGATAAAATTCCTTGTSATCCTGATGTATTCTGCATTGCCCAGCAAAGTCCAAAGAGACAAAAGGAAAATTTCTTACCATAAGCAAACTTGACTGTTTCCTATCAGGCAAATGCCAAAGGTAGGCAATATATTTTTCAAAAAAAGGAGTCTGTAAGAACTTAAGAATGGGAACCTTGCTCCCAAAACACTTTTTTTTTTTTTTTTTTTGGGTCAAGGAGTATAGTATGAGCAATAAGTGGATATTTTCAAGTTTTGCCTTCAGCAGAGTAAAATTCATCTAACTGGACACTGGCGGGACTGGTCTATTTTTCTTTAAAAATAGAAATACCCATAGTAGAAATAGAAAATATCACTTTTTTGCAAAATTGCACTTGCAAAATTTTGAATTTTATTCTGCTTATGAGATTGTTTTTTACATCAAACTTTTCTAGACRGACATAAGTTTTACTTTTTTATAAGGAAATAAAGTATTACGGTTCTTAATCTCCTTAATCCATTTCAGGCTATATTTGCCTGCCTGACTGCCAGGCAAAGAGAAATCTGGATCAGCCTTTATCCAAAATTTTAAAGAAAAAAATAGGTTTAAGTGTAAAGATTAGTCCTAGACCACCTTGGTAGGGCATCATTTGATATTAAGGGTGGAATTAATCCACAAGACATGAATTAAGTGCTTATCAAACAGCTCAGTCATGGAAGTTAATTACTAATCAACTGATATGACTCTGTTCAGCCATTCTGCTGTCTTGATATACATTTGCATACAGATTTGTTGCTACCTCAGTCTCCATCAGAAACAAACTTTGTTCTTCTTTTCCCTTTTCTATCTTTCTTTCCAAAGCCTGCACCTTGTGTTTTCCTCATTGTTCAACAGCATGATTGCARAATATTCAATTGATACTAAGCACTCAAAAAAGAAAGAAAAAAACATATTATTTAGGAAATGAAGTGCCTCATCTCCTGCCTTCTTATTAGCTTGGCTGGCCACAGAAATTTGCTAGGGGACACAACTCCAGATTACATTTTTGTTTGCTTGTTTTACATTTTTGTTTGTATTTGGGGGCTAGTATTTCTTCTTGTGCATGTATCATCTATCTGCTCTGGCCTAATTCACTGGAAGAAGGTTCACAGAAGGGTTGAGGCTGAAAGGAGCCTCTGGACATCATCTAATCCTACCTCAGGGTCACGTAGAGCACATTTCCAAGGAACTTTCCATGGTTTGTTCCATGGAACAATGACATCATGGTTCAATTTTGTCTCCTCAAAGCAAATAAAAATGAATAGAAGGACCGTTTCTGTTTTTTATTTATTTAAATGTTAGTGTTCTTAATTTTCATCTTCATAACTTCAGCATGAATCTTTAAGATCTATATTTTAATTAACAAGAGTTAAACCTGGAGATCGAACACTCAGCTGCCATTTGCCAGTAGTCAGAAGACTGATTGCACAAGTCAACTCCCTGCTTCATTTTGCCCACAATAGGATCATTTTTAATTAGTATTAATTGAGCAGCCAGCCAGACTGGCTAAAAGTCAGCTTTGTTCACGAGACAGATTCACCTGTTTTGCTGGGATAAACTTGATTGAGTAAATACACAAGACATAAGCTCTTCACAAAACTAAAAGAAAATACTARGAATCCTGAAGAATTACTTCTTAATTGGTCCCGCAGTCAAGGTGCAATGATCTTTACAGGTCTGTTCCYTAAGGAATCTAAGGAATGTTCTATTCAAACAGAGCAGAACCAGAAAGGAATCAGAAAGGAATATTGATCAACTATTTGACTGCAGAAGCCAAACACTCATTTCAGGTGTAGAGTGATGGAAAAGGCAGTTCAGGAGTTGGCTGGAGCCTACAAAGCAAAGAAGAGGTAAAAACAAAACTTCAGAAGTTATTCCAGTTCCAAAGAGAAATCACTACTGAGTTACAAATTCAGTAGTTCTGTCTTTCCAGCACTCAGTTGTTTATCCAATTAAGTGTAAATTGCTTAAACTGGGAGGCATCCCAAGGCATGCGACTGATTGCACACTTTTGAGACAAAAATGTTATGGATTTTAAGCATGCTTTTGCCTYGCATATACTGATTGCATTTGACCTCAATAAATAATTAAAAATGCCGAAGTTTGACAACTTAAAAAAAATAAGCTAATAAAAGCTTTTAAGGGACATGTTTCTCATTTCTYATTCCATTTTATTAAGTTTTGTTCTCTTCCCAAGAGAACTGATTGCAGAACAGCAGGCAAGTGTTGCAACTCAGTTTATCAGGGGTTGAAATCAAGCAGATCCAGTTGTACCATACTGAGGAATGCCAATCAGTGGAGACACTTCCCTCTCCCAAGAAGGTGCTATGGGCAGTAGGGAGTTGGTACTTGCTCCTGAACTGGAAAATCTTAGGACTAATAACTGCAATGGGTCTGAGGGAGAGAAAAGCTTGAGTTCATGCCCAGAGATCATACTATGAAGCTACTCAGCTTATATTTAAGCAAAGCTGTGGCCAGCATAGCTCAGTCTAATGTAGAGAACAGCTTTCTGCATGTACTGACAGCTTAGTGCTGCCAGTGGCATGCAGGAAAACCAATAAAGGCTTGGTTATTGCCTTGGTTATTGGTTATCTTGGTTATTGCTTTGGAAAAAACTCCTTAGCTGCCTGTTAAAAAAGCGACCTTACCAGTTCTCTTTGCTCCAGCTGGTGTCTTTGGCTTCCATCACGTGGAAGGTGAAGGCATGGCGAGAAAGCCCTGACGTGTTCAACTCACTCTTGTGGACAACTTCACCATGGATAAGAATAAGCCCCCCTGTTTGAAAAGAGTCTGTTGTGCTTCTGCGTACCAAAAACGCAGGGTTATCTTTAAAAAAGACAATCAACTTAAGGAAAACCTCAGCAGAGAGGTCTTGTTCTGGGGTGTTCTTTACCTTTGCTTATAGGTACAGGAATGAATCTGTTGTCTTCATAGGTCGGCTCTGACCCTATAAACTCTACACACGTCGAGGTGCCTGGTGAGGTACGGACCATTCTCCGGGTAATTCCACCTGCAAATCCACAGAATAAACAAACATGCATGAAAATTTAAAGGCTTGATTTTAAATTACTAGATTTTACACAGCTGTGAAACAGCTGTGATTTCTCTTGACACTAATTGGAATCAACAATAGCTTTGTTTTCCATTAAGCTTTTCATTAGGCAGAGATTTAGGATTTTCCAGCTGTGGAAGAAGGGATGCAGCTGCCTTTTGTTTGCCCTCTTGGCTCTTTGTGGGCATTGCAACACAGGTCTGAAGGAACACACATAGTTGYACACTTATGCAAAGCCGACCTTTGGGCCATTCCTCCTTTCTATAACAGCATAAATTGCAGGATGAGTGCAAAATTTGCTGACTTCAAAATATGTTTGTGCCTTAAAAAATTAAGAGCATTGTGATTAGTCTGAGTAAAAGCTCAGATGAGCAAGAGTTTGAAGCTAAAGAATACGCCCTATTATCACTGCCTATACAGCTGGTGAAATAAACTCAAATAATAATATATATATATTTATATTTTATAAATAAAAATAAATAATTGGGTGCTAATAACCCAGTACAGCACCTTCCATCAGTCACAACAGATACTACACAAGTTAGTTGTGATTTGGTGCAGTCTGTGTGTTCCTCTGGGACAATGTTTTCCAATTGCTTTGACGTGGTCCAGGTGACCCTCACGTAGGAGCTAGAGACTTTCTTGTTTAACATCCTCCTGACCAGTATTTGACGGTTGTCATGGAAGAGGATTTTTATTCAAGTAAAAATTTTTTTACTTTTAACTCAAGTAGCACTGCCAGAGATCAAATGTTATTGCACATGACTCAGAGTTGCAAAAAAAATGGGATTTTTACAAAGGGAAAGCAACTTGGAGAAGAAAGAGCTCCTGCAGGCACTGTGTGATGCTGAGAACGCAATACAATCCACGTTACTGTCCACTGCTACGTATAAAAGGTGAGCACATGTCACAGCACACACCAGAACTGCATAAATCTTACTGGTGTGAGAGCCAGGAATGAACCACAAGCAGCCGTTCTCCAGCGTGGCGTCCTCCAGGGCAATCCAGAAGCCCAGGACTCTGCCCAGAGGCTCCGTGTRCAGGAACGTGGCATCCTGGTGTGGAGTCACTGCAACGAGAGACGCTGGTTATTGTCCTTGGAAGCCTGCAGAAGTCAGCACGCGAGGAGGGCTGCACCCTTCTTGTCTTCTTGGCCGTCCCTTTCCACCCATCTAGCACACTCTTTAAGCCAGACATTCAAATGCCACATTTGAGCCCTTGGCAAATATAAAATTAGTCCTTTGCTCACACCACACATGATGCAGAAGTATTCCTGGACAGTGGATGCCTTTTCCCATAACCCTCAACAAGACTCAGGACATAAAAACAGCCTCATTCTGACTCTGGCCCCCTTTCCTGATGGAATATAATCCATAGTATAGTACAAGGATCATACGTATCTCACCTTCACCACCAATGCCAGGTTGCTGCAAGAATAAGAAAGAAGGTCTGTGAAGAGAAGAGTTTCACAGCTTCCCGTATAGAAGTGTCTTACTGAGTRACAAGGAGACTGATTTACTGTACCTTGAAGATATACATGCTTTGCACAACGACGGGACGCTCAAGGCCTAGCTTTCTTCCCAGTTCCTTAAAAACAAATCAAAAAGAAGTGAAAAAAATGACTGTTGCATTATTCTTAGAAAATATTTAATTTAYGGGCAAAAAAATGGTTCTACTTAGGAGTCTAGAATATTCAAAGTTAACAACTCCGTATTTTTTCTTTTCCAGGCAGTTCTAGAATACAGTAGCATCTTACCTGCACCTTGGAGGAGTGAGTGATTTGCTTGAAGACTGGATCGTGAGCGTGTAAAGCTAAGGCGAAAAGGAAAGACTCAAACTGAAAATTGCATTAGCGGAAGGGAAGTGGGATGCTCTCTGTGATGGGCTGCGGAAGGCTCCAGCCAAGCAACATAAATGGGAACCAGAACCTTTCATCTCTCCCAATAATGGAATTGGCATAGACATGGCTTATCAGCGTGTCTAAGGTGATAAGATGCTTGCAGGGCATCTTTAGAGACCGAAAATTCACTGGCTGCAAACTGCAGATGTATAATATGTATATWATAATAATGCTTATGTATAGCTAAGAGTGAAAAGGATTCGAGTATCATGTAATGAAATATTATATTATACACAATTAGGAACATGGCAGATATTATAAAGGACCTAGAGGCAGAAGAGCGGTACTATCTGGTACTATTTACTAAAGGTAAATTTACTCTTAAAAACAATAAAAATAAAAGGCAAAGACACACAGGTTTTATTTATTTATATACGAAAGCAAGATTATAAATTTTGTAAAGATTAGCCAGAGTCATCTTTGGTTCCAGAGAACAAAACCACAGGTCAGTGCTGTTTGTGCACATTGATTTGCTGTAGTCCCATTCTGGCCAAAATTTAGGGCAAACGCCTCAAATTCTGGTTCATTCTCAGCTACGAACAAACTTGCAGCTAGGACAGCAAACCAGGAGGGGCTGCTGCAGAGCAAGGGAAGAAGTTAGACTCGACTAAAAGGAGTATTTACAGAAAAATAAGCCAAGAGGAGCCTTGCACGGATCAGCTGCCGAGTCAGCAGGCACCTATGGTTGTTCTCACTTCCTTGAGGAAAAGCTCAAGATTAAGCAAATTGGAAGGGGGGTTGTGGGAAGGGGATTTTTTTTGCTTGAGAATGTTATTTTTCTGAGAAAACCACAGAAATGAGAACTCTCAGTACTGGCTTTTTAAGTTAACTGAAGTAAAATTTGGACAAAGTTCATGTGACTGGAGAGGGATTGAGCCCTGCTCGTTTTTTCCTTGTATTGTTTGAAAGGAAAAGGGGTGAAAATGCATGTTCAGTAGCTGGGAATGAGGAAACAGGTCATCAACTGACAGCTGGAAAAGTAGACACTGCTGGTAACCCCAGAGAAGGTAAAACAATGTTGGCACCACACCATGGTACGGGYCATGGAAGACACAGTCTGAACTGCACTGAACGTGACCAATTTTAGGCRGTAAATTTGTTAGACTGAGCTATTATGTAAGAGTTGCAAGGTCTGAAGTCCAAACTTTTGCATGTCAATGATTCTGCACTATGCATACTGAAAAACCTCCTTGAACTGCTTTCTGCAGAGGGATTTAACCGAAAACTTGGAGGTCTTTTGATACCAGAAATCTCTGCAGTTCCCTCAGCAGGGAGAAAATTGCAGAAATGATGACAGAAGGACATGAGAAAAAGCAAAGTGACACGTACAGAAACTGAAGAACTTAATGCAGAAACCCAGACCAAACCAGCCTGAGGTTGCAAAGAAAGGAACTATGTGGTCAAAACACCAAAAAGGGGGTGATTTTTGCAATATGGCATGCGGTGTCTTCATGGAGCACCATGAGAAGTAGCCAAACAAGGAGGAAATGAGTTCTGCAGCAAGAACATTTTAAACTCAATGGTCAAAGTTATTCATAATGGGCAAGTCTAGAGAAATTCTCATTTCTGAAAATGCATATGTGTATATATATATATATATATATATATTTTTACCCCTTCCCTCAAACCACCACTGTTTAAACATACCGTGGCCAATCTTGCTGATAGATTTCTCCTTTGGAATGAGAAAGTTACCTAAGGAACAAAGTAAGAATTTAACAGGATAGGAAACCAGGAATACTCAACGCACCTGCAACTCCCCTGTCTCCTCCCTCAGCTTCCTCCCACCTCCTCACACCATTCGCTATGGGTCATGTAGTTTGGAYCTTACCTTTCTCATCCAAAACACCTTTCTCAAAGAAGAATCTAATCTTGTCGCCACTGGTTAGGAAATAATCTGAGCTGCCCTGCCAGAGATAAGAGCCCAGTCAAGACAATATCTTTATAAACTCATGCCCAAAGCCCCCCGTTGGAGAGTTACTCACCTGCATCTTTTTCCCATTAAGCGACCGCATAAACAAAGTACAATCAATAAATCACTCTTACGACGGACGGTTACTAAGTTTCCTGGCACTTTGCAGGAACRCTGCAGGCACACGGGCTACCCGCGTTTTTCTTTGGCCACTTGTCCCTCTTGCAGCCCTGGATCATAACTTGTCCCCTGTGCACCGACCAAGCGCAGCCATCGCCGAGAGCTGCCACGACTGCCAGGAGCAATCGCTGCAGCTGAGTGCTCTGTGGGACCCACATGGGTCCTCTCCAATTCCACCCTCTCATAAGACCATCAGTGATGTTCTCACCACGTAGGGTGCCCACCACCACCCCGAGGAGCTAGTTCTAACCACGTTGTCTCCCATCAGCCCATCCCAGGATTTGCCTTTTCCCTTTCCTCCTCCTGTGCAGCTCGGGACCTCCTTGCCCACGGCGGTACCTGCGCCTGGAGCTGCTCCTCCTCCTTGGTGGAGAACTCGGTGCGGCAGTGCGGCGGCACCTCCATCTCSGCGACCACCTCGCGGATCCGCTCCCTCATGCCGTCGCACTCTGCCACCGTGAAGAAGCGCTCCAGCACAAGGAAGCCGTCCTCGTGGAACTGGGAGAGGACAGCAGCGGTCAGAGGGAGATGGAGCATCTGCTCCCGGCTCCCCAGAGAAAGCAGAGCACATTGCTGGCCTTTCACTGCATCTCAGCTTAATGTAATATTACCTCAGCTTCATCCCTGCACCTGGACACGAAATAATAGACAAAACAGATGCCTTGCTATGCAGACCATATATCCAGGTGGAATTAATTACACTCTCAGTTGCTCTAGTCCAACACAAACCAACTTTTTACTACTGCTGGTAGGTTTATTCCTTATAGTTACATCTTCTTAGGTCAATATTTAAGTGTTTTTTGTTGTTGTTGTTGTTGTTGTTATTATCACTTTAAAACATTTTCTACTGTATAAAGGATAATTCATTCACAGGCTCAGATCTCTTACAGTTAACATCAACATATTTTAACTTCTCAATGTAACAGGCTGTTCAAAACAGAAGATACCATTGCTGGGGTCTTTGGGACTTACGGATATCTTCTCAAAAAAAGTGACTAGCAACAAACTAAAGTTCTGATAAAATAAACAGAATGGTCATATCTGGACTCCAAATTAGAATAAAACTCATCTACAAGCTGAAAAAAAAATTATTTGGGGTAAATATTCCTGGGTGGTTTCTCTTGGTTGACTCAGTCCCTTACAGAAGCCTCGAACTGTTTCGTCCCTCCTGTTTCTTTATATAGAGCCCCTGGGGATTATCCTTTGACAGGCAGATTCCGACCTCATGGATCAGGCTGAGCAGGACACAGAAGGGCAAGGAAGCAACCGAGACCGCTCTGCAGGACRAGCTGCCCCTGGAAAGGTCCACAGCCGCAACAGGGTCCTGCCCTCTGACCCTCAAATACGTCGTGAAAAGCTGAGAATATAAAGTCAGAGTAAGCCAGACCTTACTAGACCTAGTAACTGGTTAAGCAGCAGTGACCATGTCTTCAAAGCACTGGGACCAGCCTGCACTGCAGCCCCGCAGCAGCTCCCAGACTCTGAKTCCTCAGGCTCTCCGCTTACCTTCCAGATGAGGCTCGGCGTGACAGACTCCATGAGAAGCTGCCGGGCCCCAGGAGCAGCGGGAGGGACCCACGGAGCTGCGCAGAGCTGCTCGCCCGCCTCTGCACGTGACCCTCCCGCAGCGTGGGACAGGAGCGAGCGCGGGCAGCCGGACCGCTGCACGCCTGGCGGAGCTGGAATTCTGTGCCTGGAGCTGGAATCCCRCGCCCGGCAGAGCTGGAATTCTGTGCCTGGAGCTRGAATCCCGGACCCGGTGGAGCTGGAATTCTGTGCCTGGAGCTRGAATCCCRGACCCRGCGGAGCTGGAATTCTGTGCCTGGAGCTGGAATTCCRCACCCGGCGGAGCTGGAATTCTGTGCCTGGAGCTGGAATTCCGCACCCACGTTGCTTTCTGCCAGGGACACTCAGGGCTTCGCTCCAGCTCTTGGGACAACGTCACAAAAACATTCCAGGTTACACCAGGCCATCACAAACTTGATTCAATTATCTCCAAGGAAAAATCATTGTTTTTTAATTAATAACCCAGAAAAAAAAAAAAATAGAGCAGTTAAGGTGGACTGTGGGAGAATAAAGTAAAATAAGATTTGCTAAAGATTCAGCAAACTTCTTGCACATTCTCATTSACAGCTGCTCTGCAGCGACTTCCAGCTTCAGTTGCCCGACTTGCTGTCCAGGGTCTCCAGACACACATGCAAATAGATAAGCCAAGAGCCACAGCAAACACCAGAGATGGATTMAGTGCAAAAACTAGCTCTAAAAGTTAAAAGACAGAGCAAATAGCRGCTGCTGACCCCGCGGCGGCGCTCACTGCCAATACATCCTTCCCATGGAACAAGGATCCCTGGGGAAGGCTTTTTCTTTCCGGAGAAAAACGCATTTGGCTTTTGYGGGAAACACTAAAAAGACCTTCCCTGAAAGGACCTTCCGTTTCATCACGAGGATGTTTTTATGCTGTGTTTGCATGGCCAGAAACAAACTGCGGGAGCACAGAATGCCCTTGGGAAGGGATTTACTCCAAACGCACTTGCTAGCAATGGCAAAATCTATCTGAAATAAATACTGACTAAAGTCTGYGACTCTGCAAGGAAATGGACTCTCAATTAAAAACCCCTCTCCTACTCCAGGGAAATTTTTTTTTAATTATTAGGAAATTATGAAATAATGTTTTCTAGTGAAAACACTTGATTTCACCTTTGTTTCTTTAAAGATGGCTTTCGAACTTTTCTCTGCATCCAGGTAGGTACGAATTTGGTAGTTTCAAAAGCTCAAGTTCGCCAGAGAGTTTAACAACTAGGGTGTGAAGGTGGAGGGCAGCAATCAGACTCCAATCCTGCAAAATGCAAAACCAGCAGCCGTCCCTCCCGGCCTCCCATTTCAGGGTCCCACCAACAAGAAGGGGAAGYTGCTGCTTCGAAAGCTGCGTAACCAGTGGGAAAAACCTGCTGCTGTTGTTGCCTGCAAGGAGACCTGGCGAGGACCTCACCTCTCCTGCCGTTGCCCTCTTGGGAACCTGCACAAAGAGACCTTGTACACACACTCCGTGCCACTCCTCACGCTTGTGTCATTTGTCTGCTTTACTAGTGTCGCATACTTCTCATTCCCGGTGTTTTTTTGGCGATTTAGCACGTCATTTTTTCCACTCCCCAACTTACCCATGGTGACAACTTCAGGAACTGTTCTACAACACACAGACCCCAGCAAACCTCAGCTTTCCCGCTGGGTTTAGGGACTGATTTACAAATRAACTGTATAAACAGCAGATCATTCTCCTTTGACACAAGCATGATAAAACAGCTGGCCGGGTAAACAGGGGAAGGCAAATAAATGAGYTCGGTTACAGGGGCATTCGCCAGCGCCTGTTCTTAGGATTGCTGCAGTCCTTCGCCATACCAGCCGTGCTCCGACTTGGATGCTTAGGAAGAGCTTTCCAGCAAGAAGCCCTACGTAATAAGCTAACAATAGAATGGCATCTTTGTAAATACCTCCATTTCCAGCAAGTTTAAACAAAGAAAGTAGAAAGTGTTCGAACAAAACTGGGAAATGGCCCCTTTTTCCTCTCCTTCCTCCCCCTGCAAGACGTTGCTCTGTGGTAGATGATTAACAACATTTTCTCCTGACAAGCCCATAATAACCCTGCACTTTTGGCAGATACCTTCAGAGGCTGCCAAAGCCCAGCCTGGGTCTGAACGCAGGGCACGGGCGATATTTGAGACATGAGTAACAAAGCAGCCAAGCACAAGTGCTTCAAATGCCTTCTGAACTGCCGCAGTTATCCCAGTTTCCTCCTCCATAATCGTTCCTATTGATACAATTTGGAGCCAAACCAGTTTGCAGCTCCTCAGAGCAGGTTTAAGCACCTCAGCGCTCCAGCCAGGCCTCATRTGTTGGACCTACTGGGCTTGTTGGGCAAGCAAAAGCTTCAGCTAGATCCCTTATCACCTGCCCTGAAGCCCTCACCAGTATCAGCAAATGACAGCATTTCCATCAGAAACAGAGAGCATGGAAACAAGATGTATTTCAATTGCGTGAAACAGTTTATTACTACTATTCAAAATAGCAAAGATATTTGAGTGTTTGTTTTCCTGGATCAGCAGGGTAATGTCTCCCAAGTTACCAGGTGCTTCAGAAATAAAGGGCATTTGCTGTTAGGAGAATCTTTATTGCAATCAGATATAAGAGATGAAAACTTAAAAAATCAAGAAGATAAAAGCTTACCGTGTGGCAGGGCTAGGGGAATAATGTTAGTAGAGTCCCAATCACCTAAACCTCATACATATATACACACACACTTTTTATATATATATATATATATATACACACACACATACACACACACTTCAGTCTATGTTTCAGTCTACACGTTTCATAGAAAGCCTGTATTTATCTAGACTAATATACATATATACACATACACTAAAGATACATCACCTTTTTACCTTTAGGCTCTTCTCCCATTACCATGTTACGGTTCTCCAGGCCTCAAAACCTGCCCAAATTGTCTTCTCTGACGGTACCTTTCATTCTTTTCCACCAGGACTCAAAGATCTGGCAAACTCTTGCCAAAGGCAGCTTCAGGCTAAGGGAGCTGGAGGCATTTTGTCCTCCCCTTCCTTAGTTCATTTCTAAGCACTTCGTTAAAATTCACTGCCAATAAATGGCATCAAAGCTTTCATCTTCACAGCCTGCTCACATTTTGTCACTGAAATGAGACCAAAAAAGTCACCGCAGTCAGTCTTTGGCAAAGGAAGGCAATGCCTTCCCCATACGGTGATCTGCGCAGGACTTCGAGTTCTCTTTGAAAGTTATAGGCTCAAGGAATCATCTCTGTAACACAAGCAGTCAATTAGGAAAGAGGGATCAGAGAGCATTTTCAGCTGAAAGGGAATGGGTAAACAGCTAGGAAAGATGCTAGACTAGTAGCTGGCCAAACATACTGTTTCTTTGGCCAGTTTTCCCCCACTTTCCCAGAGAGGGAAGGTACAAGGTGCATTTTGAAAATGCAAGTGAGTCTCTGCAGGATGGAGCAGACAAGGCTCCAACGCTCGTTTTAAATCCTTTACATTTCCAGATATTGGTTCAAGTGATAGCAAAACACATGTAAAGCAGTAGAGCCCAGCTTTATCAAGTAGCAGCTCTATTGCCATACACCTTTTTGCCTATTTTTCTTTCTTCATTAAGGTTCTTACATAGAAGGGCTCCCGTCACAAGCAAAGGCTGAAAAAAATACAGCAATCCTACATAACAGCAGTAATTATTAGCATCCATCTTCTGAGAAACGAGATCTTCAAAGGCTAAGTGCCTTCATACCCAGAAAGCTCAGAAAAGATATGAAAACACAAACTAAAAGGTAAAACTTTTATTTTGTTAAAGTGTCCAGCCTTACAAGTCTTTCCCAGACAACAACAGCAGCCTGCAGTGCTCAAGGTAGASGTGCTGCCCAAGCGGGATCCCACCCAGAGCAAACGTCACCATCCTGCACCATGACACCAAGTTGCAGCCAAACCATGGGCCTGCCAGCTCGCTCGCTATGGGAATGAGCAATGTGGAAGCCAGGAGCAGTGTCCTAATGAAAGGGACACATCTGTCAGCTGTAGAAGATGACTCAGAGCTATTAGCCCCCTTCTCATTAYGTTTCCTATAGGAAAACATCCCCTATTGTTCAAGAAACTTCCTTAAAAGGACAGAGGGGAAGGGAAGGATATTTCCAGAAATCCCAAATTAAGTCTTTGTGTTAATTCTATTTCACCTTAGGCACTGGGGACAGTTTTGAAAACGGATTTCAGAGATGAGATCTCTGGAGGATTTCCACACTGCCAAAGCAGTTTAATGAGGGCCCCGAAGCAGGAGGGGTGGAGGGAGAAAGGCCCAAGGCCAAGAGTGCTCCTGTCCAACCCATGTTCTGCTTCATGCCTTGTTAAGAGTCCAGGTAGGACAGAAAACTTCTCTTTTGGCACATACAGTGTTTAATAAAGCTACAGGATCCACTGCATATCCAACAGTGGGAGAAAACACTATGTCATTTTTGAAATGCAGTGAGGAAGAAGAGTTAAATTGAGGCTTAAGTGGTAATTCTACTAGTCAGCATTCATTCGGCCTTACCTTAAATAACATTTTAGAGTAGATAATGCTATTGCTTAAGGGAGGCTGTTTTGTTGTATGACTTCTTGCTGAAGCAGATCTGAAAACTCCATAGCCAAAAGCAAAAGACTCCAAGGGAAAACCTGGCTTTGGGCAGAGACTATTAATAAATACACCTGGAGCAAGTGTCTTACTGGAGAAGTTTCTCTTAATGCATCTCTAGAGAAGGCACATGAGCCACTAATGAACATTACCCTTCCTCTGAAGGAAGAACAAATCCAGACAGTTCAAGGAACTCAAAGCACATAAGTCCCTTTCCAAAGTGGAAGTAAATATATATAGATATAGCTTGAAAACGAAACAATGTTAGAGCTGTTAAACCGATATTTGAGCCTTTACCCACCTCTCTCCCAGTACATCGCATCCTTTCCAAAGGATGTTGTTCATCAGAATTCCTAGAAACCAAAAGAGCTCCCTAATAGCATATAATGAACAGCAAGAAGGGAACTAAAATGAATCAAACTAAAATGAATCAACTAAATGGAGTGTATAAATGGTGATAAGAAAAACACTGAGGTAGAAGATTCTCATGAAGTGACAATTAATACCAAAGACCATCACAGCATGAAAGATAACTGCAACCACTATGCAACACTCAGACTGGCAGCGAAAAATAATTTCAGCTCCTGAATTAACAGGGGATGAAATGGTAAAAATCAGGAAAAGACATTAAAATGAGAAAAAAAAAGAAATATATCAACTTTCCAGTGCATAGTTTCAGAGATACAGCAAAATTCAACACATTTAAATCACTTAGTATCCCTTGCCTTATAGGTGGGGCAAATCTATTAGCATTAGGGCATTTAGCATTATTGRTAGAATCTCATTTTAACAACCCTTGGATGCTAACATGAGATGGGTGTACTTGTGATCTACAGGAGCTCCAAGAACTTATTCAGCTCAGCAGTGCTGTTAAGGAAACCGTTTTAATTCAAGCTGCTTTATGGTTCCACAARCCAGATTATCTATTAGCTGCTACTACAATAAGTGCTATGAAGAGAGCCCAGAAAACAAGATGTTGACCAGCCTGCTTGTTGGCTTAAGCAGAACATTCCTCCCATCTCTCTCCCCCTACCCAGCAGGGAGGTCAGGGTCAGAAAAACTCAGCTTCAGTGTGACAATGGCTAAAAGAAAAAAAAAAAATAGATAAACTCAATACTTGCAAATGAGAAAGGGCTGTTGATGTAAACTCATCCCTCCAAGATTGAGCAACCCAGACAAGCACGGGGAGTGAATCACACTGTGGGCCAAGTTGTGCAGAGTCCTGTGCATTCAATGTGCTCAGGAGCTCAGTGTTGACCTTATCCTTGAAAGTTTCAAGCTTCTTCCATCTCATAACAGGAGACATAGTCTCCAAAGAGAATCCATTTGGGGGAAGAAGAGACACGTCAAGAGTCAATAGTACAAAGCACTTCCTTGAAGAATACCCATATTTTTACCACCTGCATTTCTAGTGCAACACTTTATCCAGCTGCTCCTTCCCGTTCTGCTGCACAGGGAGCTTCTCRCTGGCTTCAACAGCCACTGTGGAAGTATCGAGCTTGGAATATTTGAAGAGCAGCAAAAGGCTAGTTGGTTTTTCCATGCATGGTCAATACTGACAATTGCTCTGCAGAGCTCATTCAGGCCTAGGGCAGGCTACCCAGCAAGCAGTAGAAATGAAGCTCTACATTTTATAGGAATCAGAAACAGTCTTATTTCTAGCAAAACAGCCTGCCATCCACTTACCCTATGTACTGAGCGCTGAGACACACACAGCAGGTCAGGAGGTTGCAAGCTCCTAAAAGCACTAGAGCATATATTTTCAGGAGATGCTTATGGAAACCTCTATCTGCTTCGGATTCAGCTTGTATAACTTGGAACAGATGTAGAAGCAAGAGCCAGAGCACTCGTCTACAATGATCCAGGCCTACAGGAGAAGTGTCCGCTTCTGCAAGCCAGGTTAGCATTGCTCAACATGCACTGCCCCTTTCAGCCCTGCCTAGACCAAGGTACACGCTGCATCGTAACCGCATTACCCAAAGGCCTTGAACACRGCATGGTCCTTAAGGCTTCTCTTCCATGGCATCTGCAGTTGGCACACGGCAAGGAGAAGCTTCTTCTCCCATCCAAACAACCCTCACGCCCACCACGAGGAACTGCCTGGACCTTGCTGTAGCCAAGTCTGAAACCTTAATTTAAGCATCGTTAAGTCTACCTAGCAATTTCTGCCCTGTGCTGACCCAAAACACTAGTCCAAATGCAACATGTCCAGCCCGAGACGCATCAGCACCAACACTTCCAAACCCCAGTGTTTGCTCTRGGGCAGTACATTTCGGAAAAACCTTTTCCACATCTTTTCACCAGTGGCCCCCAACTTTAACAATATTTCAACACCGACCCTGTTGGGAACAGGAACAAGGATATTTACAGTACCTTGCCTTCTAGGTAGGGCCTTAATCTTAGTCTTCCCTTGCACTTTTTAAACTTTGTGACGAATGGATTAAAGGCAGCAGAATTTACATCCTCTTAAAAGCAGTTTTATGAAACAGATTTCCTAGACTTTAATGTAGCTTTATTTAAGCATCTGAACATCAACAAATTCAGAGCCCAGTTAACATTGTCCATGGTTTCAGYACGTTTAGTGTAAATTTCATATATTACATCTGATGAAGAAAGCCATAGTGTGCCCTACTGCCCCAACATCCAAGGAGATCCGAGATCCATTACACCAGGGCTCTAACCAGCAGCTTCCAGGGAACTCATSTGGAGATGGCTGCAGCTTCCCTGTTTATAACTCATGGGAGGCCTCCCAACGCTTCGCGCCTCAGCCTGCAGCTCTCCACCTTGGAGCCAGCCTGGTGGCTTCATGAGGAGTATTGCAACCTGGACCTGCAGGTCCACGAGCCTCCTCTTCCTTTGGAAGGAAAAAAAAGGCAGATTTAGGGTGTATCGTCGGCATGCCTTAACCACCCCACCTGGAGGACATGATTATCAGTAGCTATAACACAATCATCTACCTCTGCCAACGCAGAAGGGGTTTCTGTCAAACAGCATCAAACAAGTTAGACTTGTTTGCAACCGCTCTGTCCCAGGGATTGAGAGGAGCTGGGTCCCCAGAGGATTCTCCTATTGCTCCTTAACACTGGGGGAATGAAAAGGGGAGAAAAATAGGAAGACAGGTTTCCTTTCCACAGCACCACATTCAAATCAGCATTAGCCTCTTATTTAGGACAGTAGGTGTAACAGGAATTGACAGCCATTAAAGTGGGGGAAAAAAAAAAAGACAACAGAAAAGGACGATCAAGCAGCTTTGTAGATCGTGTTCATGAAAAACACTGGCAAAGGATCAAACAACTCAACAGGGAAGGAGGCGCAGAGGAAGCCTCGGCAGCCCTCTTTGAACACCAACCCCAGGGAGACCCTGACCCGCTGCCCTAGTCGCATGTTTGTATTTGATACRTGACAAAACACCAACAACTTAAAAGTAGTTTAAAAACTTTAAAAGCCAAGATCTTGAAGCAGCACCTTGCTGCTCCTGGCAGAGTGCGTGAGACAGTCCTACCACTTTTAATCCAGATCTTATCTTCCACTTGACGTGCAACCACCCATTTCACAGGAATCGGCACACGCACAAGCTCTGCTCTGGGTAAAGCTGTGGGTATTTCAAGTGGCACCTCCAGACACCATTTAGAGAAATAYGCTGTGATCTGCTAGTCAGTAAAAGTGACTTTAACTTGAAGCTGTTAACATAGTGCAATTTTCAATGAGCTGCAGAGGTTGGGGGCTTTGGTTCCTTGCCTAGGGCCAGAGTGGGGAAGGTGTTAGAATACAAGGGGGAAAAGACAATTAGTAACACAAAAAGGAATCCTGCATCCAAGCTGATGTATGATAAATTTATCCCCCCCTAGATCCCAGTGCCAGCATCTCGATGAGGATCAGCTGTCTGTATCCTATCTCACCCCACTGTAGGGCCTCTGACTGAATCACTGAGTTAGGAGGGAACAGGATCAGGTGTCACAGACAGATGAAAGGTCAAGAGGCTCCCAGAACTCTTGGTCTTTGCTTGTAGGACACTGAACACTCAAGTCCCTGACACTTATGAGCCCCACCTGGGGCGATGCAGCAATCAACATATTTTTGCCTCTGTTTAGAGGTTGCTTCCCTTTACCATGCACCTCACCCTGCTACCTGTCCAGAAGAACAGCAGCATCTCTTACTCCCACTGGACCCTGCTATGCAGCCACCCAGTCTGTCTTGCTTCTCTTCCTGATCCCAAGCTTCCCCCATCCTGCCTCCGAGGCAAGAATCAGCCTCCCTCAGAGCCACRTTTCTTCAGGGACTCCTTGGCTAGTCTGGTGGTTGTTGGAAGCGGGAGGGGAAGGAGAGGATTTGGGGAAAAAAGGGACTGGAATGGCCTTTTGTTTCCTTCTAGGTGGTCAGAGGTTTCTCCCCTCCTTCCAGGGCCTCAGGCTTGTTCTTTGTCTGCCCTCCACAAGCGCTCCTTGACCTCCAAGGGCAACGTGTTGAACAGGTCCTCCTCCACAACCAGCCCGCTGCGCTTGAGCAGGGGACAGTCGCCCAGCTCCACAGGCAGACACTCCAGGCGGTTCCCCCGGAGCTCGATCTGCGACAGATTCGTCAGCTCCCCAACGCGGGATGGCAGGGACTGCAGCACATTGTTCCCTAGGTTCAAGGTCCTCAGCTTCCTGCACTGGAACAGCTCTGGTGGGAGACTCTCAATCTGAGAAAACAAAAGAAATAAAAGCAACGTCACCAGCAGATAGGACACATGCTCATAAAGACAGACAGGTCCACACCACGTTTCAASGGGGACAAGGCCCTGCTTTTCAGTCATCTGCTTTTCTAAGGGAGCTCCTCCTTCCCATCAGGAAGACCATTAAAAAAAAATCACCTATTTAAATAGAAGTCACTAGCTTAAAAGATAACATGTATTGCTGTTAAGGCCTTTTTATAGTCCAGTCCTTCCAGTGAATTTTAAGGAGTATAATATGGTTAAGGTTCAATAAACACCAGGCTATGAACTAAATGCAACAATTCAGGGTATTGCCCTTAATTCAAAGTCTCAACMTGAAGGCGCTCATTTGTCTTTTAAACCCAGCTGCATCCTTTTATAACTGAAATTAAAAGCCTGATATCAGTTATTGCTAAGTTGGACCAAAGTCCATTCTAAATGAGATGGAGTCCAGGGAAATGCCAAGATAATGAGACAAGGCCAATCAAGGACCAGTTCAATTCAATCATTATTTGCATATCAAGTGATRCAAGATACTTTGACTGCAGCAACATGCAGTCAAAGTATCACCAACTCTTGAAAATAAAGAGTTATTTAAGGGACAAGGATTGGGTTAGGAAGGGAGCAATGTGCTATAATATGGCCTGCTTCCCAGAACAGTACCCTGGTACCAGCCAACACCAGAAATACCTCTGCTAAAACCACTGGGCTAGAAGCAGACAATTAACTGAGATAATTCAGATAATTCCTGGCCTTGGCAAGTGCCTAGGGTTAATTGTGGCCTGACACCTGTTTCTCCAGGTTCTCACCATCTTTTGCTTCAGACCACACGTGGCACAGAGCGCTCCAGCCTTCCTGGCACACTAGGGGCTCTGCAGGGACAAGTGGTTGGCGGCCACGGTACTGCAGAGAAGGCAGCTGCTCAAACTCCTTTTCATCCAGCAAAAGCTCCCCTCAAGACTGCAGATTAGCCCCCAGGAAGCTGTTTTAGGGAGGCTGCCAGAAGACAAGTGGCCCAGAACTACGCATATTCTGGACAGTATTTTAGAGTCTTTAAAGCTCCCTCCACCTTGCTGATGCCATCTTCAGAAGTCACCCACATCAGCCCTACTTCCTGCAGTCACGGATGTATTTTGCCAGACAGCAAGAAGGGCCTTGGATTCTCGCAGTGCTTGGAGGCAGTTGTACTGCAAACCTCCAGGAAACACAACACAAGCCACTTGCAAGTGCACAAAGAGCAGCCAGACCTGATATCGATGCCTTTTGCAACTTCAGGCGATAACAAGGTATTTTTCTACTGGGATTTAAAACATTTCTAGCCACAGAGCTTCCCAGGAATTCACAGAATGAACTCCGATGAGCACAGGCTGTGACACAGGGCAGAGGTCTCCTATAATCCCAGATGCAGGAATAAAGATGTACCAAAAAATCCACAAATACAGTTTGCTTTAAGCAAACCCCCACAAGCCAAGGAGCTGCTGGTGTGGTGATCAGAGCAACTGCACATCTAGCCACCTCTTCAGCTTTCCGCTTTCCTCACCCTCAGACACTTCTTAGCCCATTTGTGATTACCCAAGGAAACCCACAGCCATAATTAGGGCATATCAGGATGCCATCCTGCTACTCCCTACTCTGGAAGCCAGGGCATTGCCACAGTACAGACATTCCCCTGGCGTCCAGTTAACAAACCTAGCTTAGTTCACCCCATACGAAAAAAATGACCCTGCTGAAGGCAGTTTCCCTCTCTCCAAATTCGCTCTTGTAGAGCTCAAGTGTTTCAGATTAAGAATCATTTTTAAGTCTGCCTACATCCAACTTCAAGTGTAAGGCATGATATGAGATTGACCTTGAATATTCCCCACAAGTTAGGTACAATACCAGACTTGCAAGATAATGCCTTGCCTACATGGCCACTGCTACAGTGGTTGTATATAGCTGGAATAAGTCCATACCACTAAAGACTACAGGTTCACAGAGCTCCCTTTTAAGCCTAAAGCCAGTGTCCGTCTAGACACCACAAGCTTCCACTGCAGAGAAACAGCAAAGGATTTATGAAACGTCTTCCAAAGCGCCACTTAAAGCTGTTCTGTTCTGAAGAAATAAAATGGTGCTTGGAAAAATAATTTCCCCGAAAAGATTGGGCAAYGTTTCACCTTAGATAAACTTTTGTTTCTCTCTGAAGGTGAAACGCAATGCTGAGTATTTCACACTCCCATTGCAGCACGTTTAATCACACAGATAACAGAGGCACCAGTTATTTTYGCACAAGCAACCCACAGCTCCCTGCTCACTCACCCTGTTGGCTGTCACAGCAAGGTTCTGCAGGTTCTGAAGAAGTCCAATGTCTGGTGGTATGAAAGTCAAGTTGTTGTGGCTGAGATCTAGATATCGAAGTTTCCGGCAATAAAAGAGCTGGGTGGGGATYTTCTCTATCTTGTTTCGATTCAGGTAGAGGCGCTCCAAATTGGTGAGGTTGCCTATCTGGATGGGGATGTAGGCAATGTGGTTGTACCACAGTTTAAGGCAAGTGAGACGATGCAAGTGCTGGAAGCTGATGATTTCCTCAATGGTCTTGAGGTTGTTGTCCTTCAAATCTATCTCCTGGAGGTTRTGGAGGCTAAAGATGGAGTGAGGAATGCGTTCCAAGTCGCAACGGATCAGTTCCAGCTCTGTCAGGTTGACCATTTTCTTAAGGCTGTTGAGGACAATGAGCTTGGTGCCTTCGTTGTTGATGGATAACTTCTGAAGGTGCACGCCAACATCTGTCACCACCTGGGGCAGCTTCGTGAGGTTACTCTTGAGCCTCAACACCTTCAGCCTCTTCAGCTCCCTCAAGCCATCTATCACAATGTACCGGTTGTTTTCAGCACTCAGGTTCCCTGTCAGATGAAGCTCTTCTAGTGTTTTCAGGCTATAAATCCACAGAGGAATCTCCTTGATGTCTGTGAACTTGATGTGGAGAGACTTCAAATTCTCTCTCAGGAAGGCAAGGGCTGGAGCCTCAATTTTGGCAGCTGTGTGGTAGAGCCACAGCTCCTTAAGGCTAGTGAGCTGGGCAATGCTAGGGGGAATGGTGACATCAGGGATAAGCTCCAGCTTCAAGACCTCCAGCTCAATGAGGTCAAAGACTGTGTCAGGTATGCCACTCAACATGAAGAGATGCAGCTCCAGCTTATCCTGGGAGTTCTTGGTGATCCTCTGGCGCAGCTTCTCCAGAGTCCACTCGTTGTTGAGGTTCAGCTGCCGCAGCTTGTTCTCACTCACCTCTGACAGAAAGACAGCAAAGCGCTTGGAATACAGTGGGTCATACTGGTCAATCAGATGCAGCATAAAAGCAAAGTCGTTCTTCACATCAGGAATGTCACTGTAGCTGCTCTCCTCCCGGATGGACTCAAAGGAGTACTTCTTGAGCGATCGCTTCAGCATCCACCACAGCGTATACATGCAGATCAAGCCGTAGCATATCACCAAGCTTATGTAGAAAGATGCCAAAATTTTGAAGAGAGTAGCCAGAGGATGAGCGCAGCGGTACATGCGGTAGCCAGTCAAGCTCTCAATGTCCACTTTACAGTCAACATCAAATGTTATGTTGTTGACATAGTAGACCGTGTAGCAGATGATCAGGATGAAYTTGATCACTTTGATGATGGTTTGTCTCATGTAGAGGCGGTACACTATGTCCCCCTCCTCCACATGGGTGCGGAACTTCTTCACCTTCTCAAATAATGCTTTGGCCTGTTCCCCTTCCTTCTTGTCCAAGACACCCGTCTCCGATCTGTCCACGATTCCTTGCTCAATTCGAGACTTTGTTCTCTGCAGCATGGGAACAGTGGCTTCCACATCCTCACTGACTGTGGAGGATTTCTTGTCCATGGAGCCATTCATTTTCCCAAAGGCTGGTTTGGTATCGCTCTCTTCCACCACTGTCTCGGACAGTGCCCTTGTTGTCCATGGGGAATCAAAACACTTCAGTARAATAGACACAAAATGCTCCAGTTTGGAGCTGGTCCTTGGGAACTTGAACCAAAAATTGCTACAAGCCAGAAAAATGAGTGTATGTAGCAGCACTAGGTAAGGAAAATACTTAGCAAACCAGTGAAGGCGGTTCTCATAACACACAGCATCCACATAGTTATACTGGTGCCGGTCCAAATCATACCGGATCCCTGTAGGCCCTGTGTCAGTGGAGGGAACAAGACTAGAGTTATAGTAAGTACGCTCGGGAATGACAATTGTCCAACCTCTGACAGTGTCATTGCAAGAGTCTTTGGTTACCCATTTGCAGGGCAAACAAATCATTTTGTCCTGGGTGACTTGAAGGGTCCCTCCAAACACGGCAATCATGAGCATCACTATGGAGATGTAGTCYGTGAAGACGTCCCACCATGGCTTCAGGATGCGGTACGCCGGCTGAGTGTCAGCAAAGTAGCGCAGCTCAGTGACCGGAATCATGGCTCACCTGAAAGGAAACCAGAAGAAGGCATTGCTGGCAGATATTTCCTCCACTTTTCAGGAAAACTCATGTTTTATTAAGTCTGGCCCAGCTAGCCTGGAATTAGGACAGTGCCAGTTCCAAGTGGCTTGGAGATAAATGAATGAGGCTACCTGGTGAGCAACTGGCTACAGCTGAGGCTGTGAAGTTTGGTGGTGTTCTTGCCTGCCAGGTGGGCTCTGTCACAAGCTATCAGAATTGGCACCTCGTTAGTAGCCTGTGGGATAAGAGATATTCACTCAAGGAAAGCTCCCAAGAGAGACTTAAACTGCCCAGCAAGGCCAGTAGTTGGAAGTTTCTCCTGCTATTGTGCCAGGGATTATACTTGAAGGATGAAGGAATTTGACAGATTTGTTAGAAAAGACCAAATCCATGCATAGCAGAGCATACTTATCCTGAGCTGCTTATTGTTTTACAGAGATAGAAAGTAACTCCACATTTGAGTGCAGAGGTAAGAAAGATTTACATGCGCTATGGTTGTTTTTCCTAGAACCACTTCACCAATGCACTTCACATGGGATAAAAGAAGCCTTAAACACYAAGTACAGCTGTTTGATATGATGGTTCTGAGTTTTGCCTCCCTTTACATTAATTCTCCAAGAAGAAATTAGTTACTTGCTCTGTCATAGATTCGATACTGAAACCCTCTAACATCTGCCCTTTAGTTTCTTTCTCTTATTTACTTCAGAAGTAAAAGGGAGAAACAAAATAAGATTCACTTGTCTGACCAACCACTCCCAGCTCCCAGAGTGGGATCCCACCTCAGCTGGGATTTAAGCATCACAAGGGAATTCAAGAGGTTCTGGGAAGCAGAGACCTTACGACAGGACTTGTTTTGACCCTCAGTGATTCAGGCTTTTAGATAGATCTCTAGTTCTCAGCAAACAGGAGAAAGCCCAAACACCTGACTGACCCACAAATAACTGAGCTCAAAACATTCCTCCACATCTGTCAGGCCCCAGGATCCTGAAGTCCCTATAACTTGCTCTCATCACAAGGAAAAGCAGAATCACACCACACTTAATAGCAAAGCTGAGCAGTAGGACCAGAACTAATCTTTGAGTCATTTTTAGAAGCCCCCAATTTAATTYTAACAGAGCAGGTGCCAGGATTATATTTGTGCAGACACCACTGACAAATGCRAGGAAGCTCTGAGCTTGAAAGCAGGGTTTTTTTGCTGTCTCGTAAGGTTTCCTTGACAAGCAGGGTGCCACACTGTTTGCTTTTGTGGAATTTAAGTTTCTATTTCCAACCACACTTCCAGCAGACAACTGCAAAGGAAGCCCTTCCCAGCCTGAACTCGAAAAGCACCGCGTTCCCTGGAGGCTAAAAGCATAGGATTTTGTCCCCTGGTTTGCTGCTGACAACAATAAACGGTAAAATGCCAAGTTGGACTTAGTGCTCCCTGAGAAGGCTGCAAGCAGCTAGGTGGTGGTAGATAAAAAGCGACAGTCACTCCCAAGGAAGCGTTTGCCTTTTTGCCCATCCAGTTCCATTACTATATTAGTCCATTTCAAGAAAGACACCAGGCCAATTTTCTCCGTGCATTTTTTTTTTTTGGAGAAAAATTTTGAAAGACAATAGGTCAATACTTCAGAAGTTCAGTAAGGCCAGCCATAAGAGTAAATAGAGCTATTTATCAGACAGTAATGCACACATTCCTGTCACAGGATGCAGAAACAAGGGATGAAAATAGCTGTTACACAGCACTGTCAGAAGCCACTGCTGTCTTGTCCAGAGCTGCAGAGTGCAGGCACTTTGCTATGCAGAACAGGCTGCATCCATCAGATTARGACAAGAGAATTAAATGTTCACGACAGGAAAGAACAGGCAAAACATGTTCTGAACAGCACCTGAGCTGCTAGAAACAGCAGCTTGCAGCTTCTTCAACTCTTTACTCCTATTCCCTCCCTACTCTGAAGGAAAAAATACCTATTTAATATTTTTCTCCTCCTTTCTTTGGCCTAGATGTGCTTTTCCCCAGAAATTCTTATTCCTCTTTGTTCCCTCTTGTTCTTCATCAGTCCCAGGAAAGAAATTTTGCAGCAGTTAAGCCCTTCACAGTCACCCCCTTGTAAGCTTACAAAATAGAAAAGACCTTTTCAGGCACTGGAGCCTCATAACTAAGGCCAAGGCCTTCTCAGACCTGAGCTATTGTTCTCCACTGCTGGTTTTACTGGGTCCAGTAATGCCATTTCTGAGAAATGAGCTACACCAAATTGCTCAGTCCAATTTGTATCTCRAGATAACTAAAAAGGAAGCCCACAACAAAGCAGTGCTCATTCTCCTTATTTACCCCGTCACACAGGGTAGGAAAACCCCCTTTCATTAGGCACCTAGAAGCAAGCCAACAATCACCCTCCAGATGCGTTCTGCCTGTCCCACGCTACRGTCTGTTCATGCTCAATGTCAGCAAGGAGCCACCAAGCAGGGTGGAGCAGGAAACCTCTGCCTTTCGGGAACAATGACAAGGTCACTAAGGGAAGAGGACATGCATATCCAGTCCCCATCCTTTCTGGCAGCAGCAGAGATACTGTTCAAGCCACAGATTAAGGGCAAGAAAACCAGAGGGCACCTTAGAGAACCTCTGCCACAGAGCCTCACAAAAGGCTGAGCACTAAAAGCATGAAAGAAAAGGTGAAGTTTGCTACAGGTCTGTGCAGGGCCAGGCTGTGACACTCCAGCTCCCAAGTTAAACAGCTAAAGAAATTCCCAGCCAATAACCTGTTAATGCAGCCCTCACATACCACAACTGTGCAAGACATCTCAGTAGTTTTCATGATGCTTCAGGGTCCCAACAACCTCAGCAGGCAGTAAAGGTGGTTATGGACAGGTACAGACATAGCTGGGAAAGCAGCACTGCGTCAGAATGCACTTGAAGAAAGAGCTGAACTCCTCGACACATATCTCAAGGTGCAGACATTTCCAGTTTGGGCTTAGAAGTGATTTGTTTACACTGCAGTTAACTGTGTCACATGGAATGCAGTGATAATGAGGTTCTGAAAGACTGTTTTGTTCAGATCTAAAGGCAAGCTGATTTCACTAAACTCCCATAAACTGCAAGGTTGAACATCTGTGCCTCAAATCCTGACCCCTCAGAAACAAAGCAGTGAGTCTTCCAGCYGCGGCAGTACAATTACAGCAGGCAGGCTCGAGGCATTGCACTCCAAGTCTAACAATTGYACATTTGTGTCAGAGGTGTTTTAAGCTTGGCTATCCTACAGTGCTTTCCCAGCTCCCACACAATTCCCAAAGCAGTTCCTCACCCCTCATGCAAGGAACAACTTAACTCTCAGGGCTCAGCAGCAAAGCAGCAACACTCCTTGGAGCGCAATTCTTACCCAACCCAGAACAAGCCAGGACAGTCTGCAACAGCAACATCTGACACCTGTACAAAGAGCTGCAAAGTTGCACAGAAGGCTTACAAATATACCCACCAATCCAGCCTATAAACACAGCCTTTGAAAGCTTCTGCAATGCCCACATTCCATATCTGGATACTACAAACCTCTTCAGATTCACCTGGATCGAGTTTATATCCCACCACACACTCCTCTTGCCAGACAGCCTCTGGAAAAGCAGTGTCCACTCAGTAAGAACAGGCTGGGCTAGTGTGACCATCCCTGTACCAGCCTGGTGGGCACCTACCTGAGGACCTCACCGTTCATGCTGGACAGGTTGGCACAACAGCAGCAGTGACAGTTTCAGCCTTACCTAACCAACCTGCCAAACCTACCCAGACTTCAGCCAACCATAAGCACCACCAAATGCTAACGCCAGGTTATCCTAGAGAATAATCACCAGGAAGAGAAAAATAATCACTCATGTTACAATAGAGACAACCTGAGCACACTGTACCTAAACAGTAAAAATCAGTCAGAAACGAGACTAAAYATATCTGGCTGCTGAGGGAGGACCTCCTTTAGCAGCATTCATCTTGCCAGATGAAGGATGGCAGAGCTGAGAGCAGCAATCCTTTCCACAAGCTCCAGAAGCCCTGAAAGAAGTTCAAGATAGTAACTGCAAATGCTGCAGCAGCACAAGCATCCTCTAGTTCAGATAATGRAATTCCTCTACCCAAAAGCCACCAACCTAGACAAATGAAGACTGATTCTGTGGCTACTAAGGTGGGTGATGCTTGAAATTCCTGTCTGCAATTGCAGATCAACATATCCAGCTAGGGATAAAGTGAACAGAAGCATCACTGTTTGGTTCCCCTGGCTTATTTGCCAGCTTGACTCATGATTTACTGAATACTTAATCCAGCCTCCTCTCTCCTTCCTTCCATTGACCCTTCTGTTATTAACGGAGTTACCGGGAAAACAGGACCACATCAAAGATSCCATGACCTGCCGAAGATGTCTTAAGTTTTCCTAACTTATTTCACAAATTTCCCCAAAATTAGCCAAGTCCTTGTCTTTAACAGGATTCAGCCTCCAGCAAAACAGACAAGGTGGCATTGCAGGTTGGACATTTGAAACTCTTTCCCACTATAACTATTCTTAGTTCTCTGTGGCTTTCTCCTCAGCTTGTTGGATGAGAAGTGMAATATCACTGCCAGAATTTCTTACCCCTTACCTCTCCCGACAGAAAGGAAATGAGTTGTTCATGTGCTGACAACATCACAGGTAGACAGGCAGAAGAAAAACCTTGACACTGATAGAGCTCTAGTGCTCACTATTGACAAGCTACAACACGTTACAAAAAGCCTTTTATAGAGCAGAGCTTCCCCCTCTAGCATGCTGCCACCTGAAATCCTAAAGGAGGGCAGGACAAAGCTCTTTTGTTTCAGTATCAGGAAATAAAAGCTTTGCAGGCTGGCATATAGGCTCAGCAATTTCTACACCACTGGTTTTAAACCCAGAAGGAAAGAGGAAGAAAAAAGAGACCAAATCACRAAGCTGCTTCCGGGTATCCCCCTGAAAAGCTCCCAAGCACAGGGACAGTCACTGGACAAGTCCAAGAAGAGAGATGGGATCAAACTCAAGAATTTTATTCATTGCTATTTAGAAGAAAACAGCAAGGAAGTCAGGACCCAGAGCTCCGACCAAATTAGCATTCCTGTATCAGGGCTTCCTTCAATAAAAGAAATCTCCTGGGGCATAAAATATCTTCTCAGATGGAAAAGTGAACGTGTTAAGTCTAAGGAATGGATGAAATAGTGGCTGCCAACATCACTTACATCTTCGTTTATGGGACAGCCTGTGAACTCAACACCAAGAGCAAAGCAAGGTGGTTTTCACATAATCAGGCACCAACTGTATGCAACAGGCAGCCCCACCCAAGCCACAGGACACAGCAGGATGGAGTAAGACTCAGTAATACTGAACAACAGTTTTATTCCTGCTGGTGAAAAGGAATAATCCCACCTACAGTGTGGATAACACTTGTTTAAGCCACCCCTTACAGCACTCTACCTTTCAGAAGAAAGACTGGCAGCCCATCCTTGACTTAAGAGCAGCTCCAGGTTGTCATTGCATGAGCAAGCCTGTCCTAGCAAGTACAGGGAAGAACATCTGCACGAAGAGAACAACCTGTCCTGGAGGCCTAGCTTGGCTAGCCTCATTTTCTGACTTTTGACAGCACTTTYCCCCAGCTGCTAGGAGCAAGACTGGAGTGTGAAGTTATCTGAATCCCTGAAACCTGGAGCACGGAGCTATGTCAGTGATACAGCTATGTACAAACAAGCGCTATTAGATGACTTGCTACAAAGATGTAAACCAGAGAAAAAATGACCCTGTCAGCTTATAAATTATGCACATAGTCACAGGCTTCCAATCCAAAATTAATTTCCTCTTTGCAGTCAAAAGGATGCTTCAAGGACAGGCAGTGGAACCTTTTAGAGAAAAACATGCCTGCCTCATTCTAACAGGACACTAACAATCCCTTTTATTGACTAATCTTAAGTGACTGAATTAACCATTAGTTAACTTTGCATTAACTTAAGCTAAGAAACAAGAGCATTTACTTGTAATAACCAGAACAGCCCTTCCTTAGGTTCTGGGGGAGGCTCTTCAGCACTAAATTCCAACATTAAGGACAATCATACAAGAAAAGGTAAACTGTTTTCTGCTTAGATTTTGTGCATATTAAGAAATAAAATAATCCTTGCTTCAGACTTGTTCACTTTCAATCTAGTGTCTCTATTTCTTAATCTCTTATTTAATACTGTAAGATCTGCACTGTCTGCCCTTTCTCTCTGGAGACAATTGTTTACCTTTCCTTATTTCTCTCACTTTTCCCAGCTGAATCTTCTTTCATCTTAACCACCTCACCACTTCGGTGTTGCCACAGTTGCTCTCAAGCTTGATAAGACACCAGCTATCAGCACAGCAATATTAGCCTGGGCCTGCCAAGGAAAAGAAATAAATACATGCTCACCTATTTATCCCCACCCCAAAAGTCTTGCACCTTTAAGACCAGCAGCTCCAAAGTAGTGATGTCTAAAGTATCCTAAAAGCAGTAACTAATTTCCAGGGCAGAAATTTCCAGAAAAACTAACTTCTAGCTGCCTTCACTGATTAATAACGAACACACCTCCTAGACTCTCTCCTAGACCTCTAGACTCAGACCAGACTCTAAAGGAAAGCCTGATACCAAGTGCAGCACCACAGCTTTACTGTGCACAAAGGTAGACTGCAGCTAGAGAAGCAGCTTGCAGATTTGTCACAAAGGAGGAGCTGTGTGAATTGCCACAGTAATTCTATAGCAAACATTAACAATGCTCAGCACACAAGGAGAAAGAAGCACTATTATTTTGGCAAGGAGGTCATGACTGAATAGCTTTTAACCTCAAACACAGCTTGGGAGCAGCAGGAGCCATGTAAAACCCAGCTACATCGACTGAATTTCAAGTTACAATACCAAAATCACATGCACCATCAACAGCTTAAGGAAAAAGCTACTTGGAGGCCTCTTCAAACCATGTAAGGGTAAGCAGCTAAACTCTTGTTTAGGATAGTGCGTGTGTGTATGGTAAACATTAATTCTCAAAACACTTGGAAACACGCAGGCAGGAGGCTCACTACACTGCAACCAAGTACATTTTTATCATGAGCAAAACAATAGCTAAACATGCCCTGTATTAGAGGATCACACAATATACATAAATTTCTGCTCTACCACCCTTCTCCTGCCATTGCTACTCCATTCTCCTAGATAGCAGTTGGGCTCGATTAAACACCAGAAGTTTCACTTCCTTTTTAAATACTCCACAAAAAAAAAATCCTCCTCCAAAATGCAGAGAAATTAAATGGCAGCCTCTGTCATTAAACCTGCTCTGATTATACAGTAAGTTACACATTTAACCTCTGCTGCTTATATAAGAAATACACACACCACAGAGCTTTCCGAAGCACAGGATACCTCTCCTCCAGCATTTCCTAGAATGTAATTAGCTCAAAGGATTCAGTAAGTCATCACTGGAAGGCTTCAGGTACTCCACATATCGAAACATAWCCACAAAACGAAATAACTTTTAACACTTGGCTTTTCCTCTGTTTTAAGGATCTATTTAAACACTCTACCTTTGACCTAAACAAATAAGGATTTTTTCAAATTAGTAAGGAAAACAAGGAATCTGTGAGCTACTAGAATGTCAACTAGAACATTACTTACACAAATCTTATGGATAGTTATATTCTGGAAGCAATATACTGCACCTTTAGCTGCTTAGAATATAGCCAACCTACACAGCACTTTTCACGTTAGGCGATGAGCAGGGAGTTCTACAATGCCAGTTATCACCATCCTAACAGAAAACCAAAGAGAAACRGAGTTTCCTGAAACTGGTTTCTGACATTGCCCAAGCGACACCCACACGGGAGATTAGTCAGTGCATTCCTTTAAAGGCATGATGAAAAAATTGTTTAGGAGTTGCCTATACAACAATGCAAGCGCACTGCTGGGAAAGGAAGAACATCGTCAAACCAAAGCCTGTTTGCTACTTATCAACTACACTCTTCTACACAGCAGTCACAAGCCCATTTACTGATCTGCAGACAGCTTTTAACTACCTACCATTTAGTGCAACAAGACTAGGTTTGTGTGCTTATATGGCCAGGAGTTAGATGTCTGTGCAAAGGAAAAGTTCTACTTACTATAGTACCTTAGCTCTGCCTCACCCTCAAATCTTCAAGCAGCAGCTAAGTACTTACAGATTTAGTCTACCAAACCTCTCCCACATCATGCTCTGACCAACCTCCTTTCCTCTTTGCTCCTTATCAATCATCTCATGGCTGCCTTGTGCTTTTAGTGTGTGTTCACGTAGTACCCGGTGATGCTCTGGCTTCCTCACTCCGCTCGAGAGCTGGCCCACAGCCTTACCCTGCAGCTGGGTTCTGCTATCTGCACTTGAGGCCTCTGAGCTGGAAGAGGGTGATATCCCCACGCGCTGGATTCTGAGCGGGTGCTGAAACGCTGCGCTCCCCACACGCCATGGGCACAGCTTCCCTGGAGCGAAACACAAATCATCAGCAAAAATAGCACAGACAAAGCTCAACCAGCCCCTATTACACATGAGCTTTTATTTTCCCTCTTGCATGTTAGAATAGGAAAAGAGAAAAGGAAGATCCGGGAGACCTCCGCGCTATGCAGCAGAGCACTGCAGGACTTCAGGGAGCGGGTGGTCAAGAAGAGGGAAAGAAACAYGGGAAAAGGAAGAGGCACAGTGGAAAAACACTGACGATGGTGAGATGCTGCACCCAGGAGCTCGTTCCTCCTCATGGCCAAGCCACCCCCAGGGCTGCYGGGCTTCGCAGGGACCCTGGGCTGTGACACAGGGCTCCCCCGCAAGCAGGGATGGGAGTGAGGAGCCCCTGAGCTCTGCGGGGGCGGCTGTGGCCACGGCACCTCAGCCCTGGCCCTGGGCACTCCCAGGTGTTGTGGGAGAGAAAAAAATATAAATAAAAGGTGATTTAAAAAAAAAAAAAAAAAAAGGAGGGAGAGGCATTCTCTATGGAAAGAAATAGAAGGTGACAGACAGGAAGAGTGCGAGCGGAGCCTGCTCGCAGCGCAAGCCTCGCCGGGGGGCTCGCAGCCGGGATGGGGGACACGGCGCAGCCCTGCCCGTTCCCAAAGCAGCGGGGCCGGGGCCCGCGCTCGCGCCCTGCTTAGCCCGGAGGGGTCGCTCCGCCGCCCTGTTCGGCAGCAGCCCCCGCGCCCTGCCCGCCCGCCCCTCCGCGCTGACACGTCCCGCCGCGGCGGGAGACGCCCGCAGTGCCGCAGCACCCACCGCGCGGGGCCGCGTCACCGGCGCCGCGGCCGCCGCCTCCTCCGCCGCTGCCCGCCCGCACCCACCTGGTCGCGCCGCCACCGCCCGCCCCGGCCGCCTCCCGCCCTCCCTCACAGCGGCCCCGGCTCCTTTTGTTCGGCCCCGACCGCCCCGCCGCGGCCCCACCCCGGAACTGACCTCACCCGCCCGGGGCGGCGGCCATCAGCCCGGCCCGCCGCCGCGCCGCCAGTGAGGAGGGCGGGCAGGCGCCACCATGTTGGGCATGGGCGCCGCCATCTTTGTGTAGGGCGCAGCCAACGGCGCGCGCGCCCAGCAGGGCAGATATTTATKGTGGCGCAGGGGGAGGAGCGGGCGGGGTATTGATGGTTGCGGCGCCATCTTTGTGGCGGGCAAGGTGCAAAATGGTGTCTTAAAGGCGCCGCCGCCCTCCGTGCTGCAGTCCCGCAGGGGCCTGTGTGGCTTCACCCGCTGTGGCAGGACAGGTTTATTTTGGAGCTCACAAATGCTTGTTTCTTAAAAAAAATCATTTTTTGGATTTTTTTAATAAATCAGTATGATTTATTATATATATTAATATACATTAAATGTGTTTCTTGTATGTACACACTCTGGCACCAGTGCAGACTCACTTTGCTGTTTTATTTTGTCCTTAAAAACMAATGCAGTTGCATTTTTTTTCCAAGCATTTTGTAAACACCGCTCTGTTTTACCTTGGCGCATGCTTGACAGACTGGGACCACTCAAAAACCCCAGCATTCCGCTACCTCAGGCACCAGGAACGGTGACAGGACTGCACCAGGAGGCTGCATCCAGCAGCGAAAATACATTTGTAGGTTTTTTGTGTATTGGTATCCAAAACACCAGCTGATCCATCAGGGCTGTTTTCCTTCGGCTGACTCCCCTGAGAGTGTTTAGAGTTGCTCTAGAACAAATCATYGTGGCTGAGGTACCAGCTGGTGCCCCATCGCTCCCATTTTCCCTGCCCAGCTCCATGTTTCCTTGCACTCACATCCTGCCCTTRGCCCATTCAGCCGGTGTCAGTAGCGGTGAGGATGAGGCCATGCAGGATGTGAGGGGGATAACGTMTCCTCCTGAGCTCTTAGGGAATGTTTGCATGGAATAGATGTTTATAAACAACGGGTAATTTAYGTCTGCTCCCAGAGAAATCTTAGTCACGGCAGGGATGCCGCAAGCCCGCAGCGGGTCGGGAGCCCTGAGCACAGCGGATATCCGCTGAATCCTTTCCCCATGGCTCACTTTTTCCTACTGTGAGATGGAGACGGGAATTACTCATTGCCCCAGCCCTGATTCACCAGTACAAAGCCCTGSGCAAAGGGAAGAGGGAAGTGGAGAGGAGGCTGGCGTGGCCATCATCAACCCCCAGCGAAGCTAACGAGGAGGCCTCCGCCTTCAGTACCCGCAGCGCCGTCTCCAGCGACCCTCAGGGTGGCATCTCTGGGAGAGCCCGGCAAAGTGCCCGATGGCGGCGCGCAGGGGGAATTCTCCAGCCACAGCCACCCTGCAAGAACAATCCTGCTGTAATTATTGCAGGGCGCCTCATCTGAGCGATGCGCGGCCATGTTCGGGCAACAAGACGCATTCGCTTTCAACTAAAGCTGTCGCCCTCCTTGCCCGCCCGCCTGCTCCAGGGCGGCCCTTTGCCCGGCACGCTTTCCCCATCAGCGCGTTGCAGCTAGACCCGCAGCGCCCGGCGGGTCCCGGCTCCTCCCAGGAAGTCGGCGCAGCGGGCGAAGCCGCCGGGATGCGCGGGGACGGCGCCATGCGTGTCCCGGGAGCCCGGCCGGACCACTGCCGCGTAACGCAGAGCGGCCCCGCCGCGTGTAAGTCGGGTCTCCCCCGTTGCCGTCCGTGCCGAGGCGCCGCCGYGAGGGGCACCCGCCGGCCGCCGCGCTGCATCCACCCTCCTGAGCCGGCCAGGCCCGAGGGACCGTCCCCCGAGGTGACCTTATGGCTGGCACCTCCAGAGYCCTCAGCGTGCTCTGTCCCCTACACCCCACACGCCCTCGCTGCCCCCACTTGGGCCCAGCTCAGCCCTGGCTCAACCCGGCTGCTTCTCCCGCTGCAACACAGTGAAGCCCCATTTGCCCCCCCAGTCCCTTTGTTTTGCCTTAAATTGCTTTTTTTCGGAGTAAAGAAGTGCAAAACACCGCCTGTCTCAGCTGACCCCCGCTTAGCGCTTGTGTCAGGAAAAGCACCAATGCGAAATGTGCAGTTTTTTTTTTACCTGAGGCTTTGCGTGGTGCCTGTGTTGTGCAACGGGCATTTCACGCCGCTGTTCTGTGCCGGGGGAAGCGCAGGTCTGCGTCCATCGGAGTGAGGCCGTGGCATGATCCGGAGCGYGGTGCCGGCCCTGCGCCGCGTCCTGCTGCCGAGGGCCAGCGGTGTCGGACACAGCCGGTGCTTCAGCAAGGTACTGACACGGGCCTGGCYGTCCCCCGGTGCCCCGGGGCACCGGGAGCAGAAGGGCACCGCGGGAAAAGTCACGTTGACACTGTCACCTCCACGCCTGGTTATTTCCAAGTACCCTGTGCAAAGGGAACGGCTCATAATTGGGAGAATATGTATTATATGGGGGAAAAAGAAAAAGGGTGGCAGTTGCTAGCTGCCAGGCAAAGTGCACCTGGATAAACACACTAGTTTTGGAGAGCCCAAGGGGCTGGAAGAGGTTCAGAGATGGAGTCACCTGAAGCCYGTGTCACTTCCAGCACCCATGGGGACTTAGGCTAAGGTTAGGACCAATGAGTGTCAGTGGAAGAAAGTTTTGGCCATTTTCTTTCCTGAAAGGGTTGGAACAGGCAGGGTTCTTCCTGGTAACTTGACTTAAAGCATCTTATTCCCAGCCACCCCATCAGACTTGATGCTGTTGGACACCCAGACCTGTGGCCGACAGCAATGCCCCCCACAAGACAGGGCTCCAGAGCTGTTAATATTTAATCTCCAGCTTTCTTTATACTTCTTAAATCATTAACCTTGCTGAGCCCAACAGCATCAGCTCGGACAGCGGGTCCTGCTGACCGCAGGATCCTTGGCCTTGTGCAGAAGGAGCAAAAGTGGGGCAGGGGGGAACAGTGGGGACTGCCCCATCCCTCCAGGCACCATCTCGACCCCTGGCTGCCCTCGGCACCGCGCCCGGCACCGCGGGGAAGTTCAGAGTCCACCGCAGAGCGCAGGGACGCAGTTCACCCACGACTCATTGCAAAACCCCTAGCAAGGGCTGAGGTGGGATAGAAAGCTGAAGACCTTGGAGCAAGAACACTAGCAAGGCGTTCCCAAGAGGAACAAGAAGGTAAGCAGGGCACCTCGAGACAGTGGACCCGGGATCCTCCGACCCTCCCAGTGTGGAAGCTGCGAGCAGAGCATGCAGCTCCCTCCCTCACACCCCAGCCCCTCATTTCACATCCCAGACACCATCAGGAACCTCCTCTTCTCTGCCCAAGCRCCCATTGAAACCCATTCAAACGCCCGGCATCTGCTGCTGCCGGGACAGTTTGCCCAGCTCGTTGCAGCATTGGCGCAGCTCATGAGCCTCACGCTGCCTTTTCTCAGCCAAGCCTTGACCAACACTTGTCCCTGGTTCCCAGGGACAAAAACACCGTTTTTGTCAGGCTGCTGACTAATCCCCCCTCCAGCACTTGTGCCTTCTCCCAGCGTGTTCATCCCAAGTGGAAGGAGGCGTTTGYACTGCTCAGGTGCTGTGAACTTTGGACGCAGAGACCTGCATTTAGTTTGGGATCTAGAGCACCTACCTTCGCCAGGGGGATGAAGGAGCAAATGCTACTTGGGTAACAAACCAGAGCAGCTGGGGATAAAAAGAAAATCAGTTCTTGTAGGGAAATAGGATATGGGCTGCAGAGAACACAGAGGTCCTTTTGAAGCAGAAAAGAGAGTAACTAAGGAAGGAAAAGCCTGAGGGCTGGAGCTAGGGGTCTGACTGTGCCCYGTTGACCTTGGCACCAAATGGAAAGGAGGTTGAAGGCATTGCTGGGTACCCRGTCAGTGTGCACATTCCTGTTGGCCTCCTGCTTCCCAAATTGTTGTTGAAACCTGCGAGCAGAGCAGCCTTCTCTGCCAGCTCTAGTCTTTTTTGCTCATTCTCCAAAACCACTCCTGGAGGCTGCTGCACTGCAGGACCAGGCAGCAACAACCCATGAAGCGACACTGAAGGGCCCATATCCAGGCAGCGGGAAAAAGYCCCACGGAGCGGGAAGAGTCCCACGGAGACCACGACCCCTCCGGACACGGCACCAGTGCCGTCGAGGAAAACTTCAAAGTCGCTCTCTGCATTTGCAGGCAAAAATGTCGAGGCTGGTGCAAGCTCGGAGGCTGGAGGGAGTGGATCAGAATATCTGGTGAGTTGAGCGGCAGCCCCTGGTCGTGTGCCCGCGCCGGGCAGCGCGGCCTCGCGGAGAGGAGCCTCCATGAGCGCCCAGCCTCCTCGCGCCTTCCTCTCCGCAGGGTGGAGTTCGTCAAGCTGGCGGCCACCCACGCCACCGTGAACCTGGGCCAGGGCTTCCCGGACTTCCCGCCGCCGGACTTCCTGAGGGAGGCGTTGGTGCGGGCCGTCGGCGGCAGGAATCACCTGCTGCACCAGTACACCCGGGCCTTCGTGCGTGGTGCTCCTGGCCACGGCCCCTGGTCCYGCGGGCACCTGGGCTGCCTTCAGCTTGGACCCCCCAACCTCTCTGCTGGGGGGTGGCCTAGCCCCAGGTTGCACGTGCTGGGGACGGGGAGATGGAAAAGGGTGGCAGGAACATCCCGCTGCTCCCTGCACAGCTGGTGGTCCCCATGCAGATCACACTTGATACCCCAAGCGCCCRGGAACGCATCTGCAAGGCACTGGAGGTGTCCAGGCTGCAGGACAGCCCAGGCACTCGTTGCCCCAACCCCTCCAAAGGGCTTGTCCATGTGCCCCAAGCCCAGTCACCCCCTCTTGCCCCCAGGGCCACCCTCCACTGGTGAAGATCCTAGCCGAGTTTTTTGGGAAGCTGCTTGGGCGGGAGCTGGACCCTCTGAACAACGTGATGGTGACCGTGGGGGCCTACCAGGCCCTTTTCTGCTGCTTCCAGGCCTTCGTGGATGAAGGCGATGAGGTGAGGAAGGGTCTGGGCTTGCTGCACGGGCAGCCTTTGCCCCAGAGAGCCCCTCCTGGCCCTGGCTCTGCTCGGGGCTCCAGGTGGGTTTTCAGAGTCCTCCTGTTGAACAGAAAAGCTTTAGCATTTCCCCATCCCCGGTATTTGAGCTGCTGAGGGAGGAGCATCCCTGCTGTAGGGCACTGCAGCACTTTCTCACTGCTGCATATGGCCAAAATAGACCTTTTGCCACGAGCACTATCAGTTCTCCCTGTTTCTGCCGTGCAGGATCTCCAGTTTGCAGGAATTCAGGGATTAAAATTGCCCGGCCCTACCATCCCACCAGGGCTGAGTGGGCCCGGGAGGGCGCTGAGGTGCCTCTTTCCCACAGGTGATCATCATTGAGCCCTTCTTCGACTGCTACGAGCCCATGGTGAAGATGGCAGGTGGGACACCCGTGTTCGTCCCACTGAGACTGGTGAGTGGGCTGGAGCGGAGCCGCCGAGATGAGGAGCAGAGCGGCCCGGCTGGGCATGGAGCCATGTGCGGAAACCTCCGTTTCTCCTCCGTGCTCCCCAGAAAGCGCCAGGGGCTGGAAAACCCATGTCCAGCGCGGACTGGCAGCTGGACCCAGCCGAACTGGCTTCCAAGTTCAGCAAGCGGACTAAGGCCCTTGTCCTGAACTCGCCCAACAACCCGCTGGGCAAGGTAAGGCCGGGGGTGCTCCAGGCGTTCACGGATGGTGGGTGCTCGGTGCTCTCCTGGGCACGATGCCTGTGTCCCCATCCCACCACGTCTCCCTGCCTGGTACAGGTGTTTGGCCGGGAGGAGCTGCAGCTCATTGCGGAGCTGTGCATAAAGCACGATGTCCTGTGCATCAGCGACGAAGTGTACGAGTGGCTGGTCTTTGATGGGAAGGAGCACGTCCGCATTGGTACGTCGTTGCGAGCCCGGGTGGCCCTGCCGGGGATCCTGTCCCCTTGTGGCCCCTATAATCCTGTCCTAGGCTCCTTGGCCTCCAAATCAGGTCTTAAACTTGAGCCCCAACTTCCAGAGCCAGGGCAAAAGGGAGCTACTGTCAGTGTGGCATGTCCAGAGTGCAGAATCCTGTGGTCCCAGTGAAATTTTTGGAAAAAAAACTTTTTTTTTTTGTGAGCATCTCTATTTCGGGACCTCCATTTCACCGTGATTGAGGCCTGTTCTTCCTGTCGTGGTGGGGTGGGAGGGTGATGGTGCTTGGCACATCACGGGCCTGTCCACRCAGTTGTGAAGACACTTGGTTGCTTTGGAAAAGTCAGTTTGGAAAAACCCACCCGCTTGCTCGCGATGCGCTTGGAGGTTGTGGTGGGCAGCAAGTGCCCAGCGCGAATGCAAGTTAGCGCAGCGCAAACGCACCTGCCCCAARCTCTGTCCTCACTTTTTCTCCCCTCTTGTCCCCGCTAGCCAGCCTGCCGGGCATGTGGGAGCGCACCATCAGCATCAGCAGCGCCGGGAAAACCTTCAGCGCCACGGGATGGAAGGTGAGTGCCCCCCGTGGTGCCAGCGACCAGCCGCACAGGCAGCTTCTCCRTGACTCAGTGCCTTCCCCCTCATCCTCATCCGGGCAGGTGGGCTGGACGGTGGGGCCATGGCGGCTGCTGCAGCACCTGCACACGGTGCATCAGAACAGCGTCTACCACTGCGCCACGGCCGCCCAGGTAGGGAGCCAACGGGGCGCTCGCCCTGGGGACGTCCCCAAGGGCGCCGGGCCCCACACACCTCCCTGCCCGCAGGAGGCCGTGGCCGTGGGTTTCCGCTGGGAGCWGGAGCGCCGGGAGCGAGCGGACAGCTACTTTGCCCAGCTGGCCCGGGAGCTGCAGGGCAAGAGGGACCGGCTGATACGGAGCCTGGAGGCCGCTGGCATGACACCCATCGTYCCCGAGGGCACCTACTTCTTGGTGGCAGATGTGTCCACCTTCGGTGAGTCACCCTGGTTGATGAGGTGCCTCACCCCGAGAGCAGTGGGCACCCACCATGGGTCCTGGGGTTCAGCAGGGCGCCAACTGCGCTCCCAGCTTCTCCTCTGTCCCAGCATCCGACGTCCCTGAGGCCCCCGGCTCCGACGAGCCCTTCGACTCCCGGTTTGCCAAGTGGATGGTCAAGAACAAGGTAAACTGAGGCTCTCTGCATTGCCCTGGCCCATCGGCGAGGAGCGGCCGTGGCGCCACGCTGTTCTTTGCGCCTGCTCCCTGCCAGGGCCTGGCCGCCATCCCGCTCTCCGCTTTCTACTCGGGGCCCCACAAGAACGACTACAGCCGCTTCGTCCGCTTCTGCTTCGCCAAGGTGAGACGGGCCCTGGGATGTGGGAGCACGGGGAGATGTGGCCGCCCTGTCCTGAGTGCAGGGTGTTTGTGGTGTTTTGGGAGAAAACTGGGGGGCTTAGGTAAATGAGGGAGGGGGAACTGGCTGGGAGTCACTGACGGTGTCTATCCAGGAGGAAGCCACCCTGGATGCAGCAAACGATATTCTGCAAAAATGGAAACAGGAGAGAGCTGYTCCCTGAAGGCTGCGGATGGCGGCGCCGGCTCTGCTCCGACCCCATCCGCCGCATCCCACTCTCCTTCCCGGCCTGTGAACTTTGCATCAGCCCTATGTCTGCGCGTTCAGCCCTGCTCTGTCAGGACAGGCCGTGGGGTTGCCACACGCAGTGGGGAGGAAAGGGGACATGCAGYGAGGGACGGCTGGTCTGAGCCGGCTCAGGGATACTGCTCCTGCTCACACCCATACCGAACTGCAACGGGAGCAGCCACTGGAGCAGCCAGCAGAGCAGCCCTCTGGCAGGTCATCTGCTTTCAACACAGACAGGGACGTGAAATGGCATCTTCACTCCTGCACAAGCTGCCCGTAAGGGATGGCGCAATGAGGATTTGTAGTGATTAAATTATTAAAGTGGGATTACTTCTGTTACGGAAGAATAAGCGTCTCTCCCCGATGATGGGGCTGGTGGGGATCAGCATCGCTGTTTTTTCGGAGCAGGAGTTGCACTTCCCCAGATGAAGAGGCAGCTCCGTGTCCTGCTGCATCCAGGTCAGACCAGGGCATCACTTCAGGTCCTTATTGCTAACACGCACATGCCAAAGAGCTATGATGGCTGAAAACAGGTAAATGACTCAAGGATGGAGTATGGGCAGGAAGATGAACTGCAGCACCCCTGTGCATGCCAGATCCTGCCCTACACCATGAGACACCCTGCAAGGGGCACGATGCACCCTAATCGCACCCCCCGCCTGCAGGGCACAGTGGGGCACAGGCGCCGAGATCTGCGGCCCTGCCACTGTCCCCGCCGGCCCTARCAGCGCTGCCTGCTCTCCGCGCTGCGGTCACCCATCCCCTGCCGAACCATGCAGCTCCTGCTTAGCAAGAGACACCACGCACGGCACCTAAGCCGCCAGCCGTGCCCCGTCCCTTCCCATCTGCCCGACCATTGGCTCGCGTTCCGCTCCACGTGACCCATCCGTGGCCGGCTCCGCCCAATCAGCACCGCGAGGCAACGGCGGCAATGGCGGCCGCCAGCGCGAAGCGGCCCAAGGAGGCGCAGGTGGGCGCGGGAGGGGGCGCTGAGCCGCCCTAACGGTCCCGGTAACGGTCCCGGTAACGGTCCCCGGTAACGGTCCCCGGTAACGGTCCCGGTAACGGTCCCGGTAACGGTCCCCGGTAACGGTCCCCGGTAACGGTCCCGGTAACGGTCCCGGTAACGGTCCCCGGTAACGGTCCCCGGTAACGGTCCCCGGTAACGGTCGCTGTCCCCGCAGGGCACGGAGAGGAAGGTCGACTGGCGGCGCTGGAAGCAGGAGCGTAAGGCCGGGCCGTGGCGCGGGATGGGGAGCAGGGGCAGCAGGCGCCGCCGGTGCCACCGGGCCGCGTGTGCCGCTCTGGGAATGTCCCCCTGCTCGGGGGAGCCGCCCCCGTCCCGCCCCTCCTCCCCTCCCTGGCTGGGGCGAGGGGTCGCTCTCTAACAGGCCGTGTTTCCCCCTACGCCCCCGCCCCCAGGGAAAGCAGAGAAGAAGAAATGGAGGGAAATAAAACTCCTAAAGAAACTGGAGAAGCAGAGGATGCARGAGCTCGCTGCGAAGGAGCAGCCTGAAAAGGAAGAGGAGCAGAARGAGGATAAAGGTAACGCTGCTGATGTTGGCCGCAACTGAGGACCACGAACAGGGGCTGGGAAAAAAAGGGGGTTGTTAAGTCAAAAAGCTGTGGTTGTGGTGTTGGGGTAGAGAGACTTGTACATATYGACACAAAAGGTGAGGCTCAGCTCTATCTACCTCGTCTACATCACAGTTGTCAGCAGGCACGGACACCATGTAGCGGGCACTGCCAGGGAAGCTTTTGGTAACAGAAAATCCATGGTTAAAATTTAACATAGRCAAGGTTGCTCCCATTCTCCCACACCTATTCCCACCGAAGAAGCAAATAAAAGGATGGAGATAGCTGTCAGACTTTCCTCTGCCTGCATTGTGTTCCCCAGGGCGTCACTACACCCTGAGCGTCGCCCTGCCAGGCTCTATCCTGAATAACGCCCAGTCCCTGGAGCTGCGGACGTACCTYGCTGGACAGATTGCTCGGGCTTGTGCCATCTTCTGCGTGGATGAGATTATAGTATTTGATGAGCACGGAGAAGACGCAAAGTAAGTGTGAGCTGCTTTGTTTCCCAGAAAACCTTACCTTGGTGCTCTCTGTTTCTCTGCTTTTTACTTGAGGTGGGAATGTACCTCAAGCAAACGCTCACGGGCTGTTCTCTTTCTTTCAGGAGTGTGGAGGGGGAATTTTCCGGAATTGGGAAGAAAGGCAAGGCTTGTGTGCAGCTTGCTCGCATCCTGCAGTACTTGGAGTGCCCTCAGTAAGTACCGGCCSGTCAGGCTGCACAGCATGTGGGCTAGCAGCCAAGTCTGATGCCAGCTTCCATGGGCATCTCCTGCAGAAGCAGGATCCAGACTATTTTTGTCACAGTGTGCTGCACTAACATGAGATGTTTCAGTTAAAACCATTAACAAGTAAAACAATCAGAAGAACATGCARTATAGGATATAACATGCTGGGTGCGTTAGAGAGGAGCTAAGCGTGAGAGAATCATGCAGCTCCCTGGAGCCAGCAAAGCGTTAAATTGAGGCCTGAAACTGTTTTCATATTTGAACTTTCCCTGTTAACAGGTACTTGAGGAAATCCTTTTTTCCAAAACACGAGGATCTGCAGTTTGCAGGTAAGAATCCTGCCACCTCCACCCCAGGCTGCTGGTTCCTTTCTTCCTGAGCTCTGACTCTCGCTCAGAGCCGAAGAGCCTGTTCCCTCAAAAGGGTGCGAGCAGGTTGAGCTGTCTTGGTGCACGGGAGCAGAGAGGAGGGAACAGCAGAGCAGTTTACTTGCGTGTTTTCCCTAAGTGTGTGTCCTGTTCTCAGCTGTCATTTTCTTCTGTGCTGTCCTAGGGCTGCTGAATCCCCTGGACAGCCCCCACCACATGCGGGTGGACGAGGACTCGCAGTACCGAGAAGGTGTCGTGTTGGACCGGCCAACTAAGCCGGGCAGAGGCTCTTTTGTTAACTGTGGGATGAGGAAGGTAGGTCTGTGCTACCCACAGATCCCCACGTGGCTCTCCCTGTCTCTCTGGCAGAATTGAAGTGGGCAGGGTGGGTACTGCTGGGTTTCCAAAGGCCCCATTTCATAGCGGGCTGGGATGGACTTTAAAGCTTCCAGCTCCAGGCCAGAACGGGCCTCCTCTTGCCCAGAGAGTCTTTTCCCTCCCTGCTTGCCCCGGTACCTTCAGCTGCCTGACCCTGCTGGTGACTGTCCCTGCAGGAGGTGCGGATTGACAAGCAGCTGGATCCTGGTCTGCGAGTCACCGTGCGCCTGGAAGAACCTCAGAATCCAGGTAATCCCCTGCTCCCCACGGCATCCATAGACTTGATTCCTGCAGGATCTTGTCCTTTAATAGCCTTCAAATTACTAATGCTTAAAGATACCAAGCAGCTCTGCATGTCCCCTTCAACCCCCGCCAGCTTTATGGACACCCTTGCCACACTTCTCCAGTTAACTGGAAAGAGCTGGCAGCTCTTTTCTCATCTGTAAATATCCCAAGGCTCACTTTCCAGGCTGGGCTCAGGATGGTGGTTCTTGGTTGTGCACCACATGAGGACCTCTCCCCAGGACAACCTCAGGATGTGGCTGGTCAAACCCAGCCCTCACGAGGAGGGCACGAGGGATTATCAATCTCTCTGCTTCCCTTTCAGACAGCAAAGTGCGACAGGGCACCGTGGTGTCCTCGCATCATCCTCGGACTGCGTCAGGCCTGTACTGGGGTTACAGCGTCCGCCTTGCGTCCTGCCTCAGTGAGTGTTTCCAGCCACTCGCTCCCCTGCAGCAGAAAYCAGCCTCGCCCTGCCTGGGCTTCCACACCAATCTGGGCAATGAAGTTGGGGGGGTGAATCATCTCAGTTACCCACCAATACCTTGTCCTGGAACTCTGCTCACCTTGTTCCAAAAGCTGCCAGCAGTTGTAGCAGTGCAAGGAGTCAGTGCTTGTCTCCATGCAGCTCATCTATGTCTCTCTCCTGCTCACTTACATCAAAGCACACGATGACATTTGAGCCCAGCAAAGTCAAAGTTCTTCCCTGTCGTCTCACTGATGGGACCTCCTGGGCTCATAAGCTCTGAAATGTAGAAGTCTCTGGCACAGACCATAGAGAGCTATATCCAAAGAAGAGAAGTGCCACCTGGCTGTGTTGAGCCATAGGCAAACGTCGCTGCTGCTTCTGCTTTAGCCACCAAATAGCTCCTAGGCCCTGTTTGGGCTTTTAAGGAAAAGCTGCTTGCCCTGTGAGGCAAGAAAGGTGCTAGGAAGCCCCAGCACCTCGGGGATAACATAGGAAAGGGGGAGATCGGTCCTGCATTTACTGCACCCTCATCTATAYTAGCAGCTCTGAAAAGCAATTCCCTTTCTGCTGCTGCCATTCACCTATGGAGCCTTGGAAGCTGCTGAAGAGACCTGGGCACGGGTGAGGCAGCGTGTGGATAACCACACGTTGTGCTTGTTTCCCAGGTGCTGTCTTCTCCGAGTGTCCTTTCAAGGAAGGCTACGACCTCTCCATTGGCACCTCGGAGCGGGGGTGCTCTGTGGACCAGGCCTCTCTTCCCTCCTTCAGGTAGGTGTCCTCTCCTCCTAGGCCTGCTCGCTGCCTCTGGCGAGCCTGGTGCAGGTGGCGCAACGGCAGCCTGGCTCCTGCAGTCACAGGCTGCTGCACGGTGGCCTTGGCGCTCTCCCAGATGGGACTGTTCCTACGTGCAAGTGCAGGACACACACAGGCTCCTGGGCTCTCCTGGGCTGTGGAGCTTTGCTRGGGAACCTGCTGCCTCGGGTTGACACCCTTGGTTGACCGAGTTAACCATGAGGCCCTCATGGCCAAGGAGGCCAATGGGCTCCTGGCTGCATCAGGAGGACATTGCCAGCAGGGCAGGGAGGGGATCCTGCCCCTCTACTCAGCTSTGGTGAGGCGGCAGCTGGAGCACTGGGGGCAGTTCTGGGCTCCCCAGTACAAGAGGGATGAGGAGCTTCTAGAGAGGGTCCAGCAGAGAATAACAAAAATGATTTAAGGGACTGGAGCATCTATTTTATGAGGAAAGACTAATCAAACTGGGCCTGTTTAGCCTGGAGAAGAGAAGACTGAGGGACCTGATTAATATGTATAGTATAAGTACCTGAGGGGAGAATGTAAAGAGGATGGGGCCAAGCTCTTCTCAGTGGTGGCCAGTGACAGTACAAGGGGCAGTGGGGACAAATTGAAATACAGGCAGTTCCATCTCCRTATGAGGAGAAACTTCTTTACTATGAGGGTTTACTGTGCTCCCTGGGGCTGCCCAGGGAGGTTGTAGAGTGTCCTTCTCTGGAGATCTTCAAAACTTGCCTGGATGCCACCCTGTACCACATGCTCTAGGTGTCCCTGCTTGATCAGGGGGTTGGACTAGATGATCTCTAAGGGTTCCAACCTCAATCAGAATTCTCTGATTCTGTGAAAATTGTAATCCACTTGATTGTTTGAGGCACATGAAAAAGCTCTCTTGTGTAAGAAGCAGGAAGAGGGACAGTCTCCCTACTCATAGTGTCCTACGTTCCCTCTCAGGCATGCCCTGGTCGTGTTTGGAGGTCTSCAGGGCTTGGAAGCTGGGGTTGATGCAGACCCAAACCTGGAGGTCACCGACCCAAGCGTCTTGTTYGACTTCTACCTGAACACTTGTCCCAGCCAAGGCAGCCGAACCATCAGGACAGAGGTAGGGCAGGCGGTAACGGCACAGCAGGCGCGACGCCCGCGCTGCCTCGGGCAGTGACACGCGCTGCAGGGACAGCCCTCGGTCTGTTGCAGGAAGCGCTGCTCATCTCCTTGTCTTCGCTGAGACCCCACATCGAGGAGGCTGTGAAGACACCCAGAGACAGCCAAGGGAAGGAGAAGCCCTGATGTTACCACTGGCCGCGGACTGGCTCCAGGGAGAGCCCTTTGCTGGGCAGAGCGCTCCAAGAGCCCCTCCGGGCTGAGCCTGGAGAAGGCAAAAGACACAACGTRACTGAAGCTGACAGTGCTTAGCCAGACTAATTGTCCATTTGTGCTGGGAGCAGGAAGGCTGAGCTYTCCTGCCTGCATGGTCCAGGCCTGCGTGCCTCCCAGCCACAGGATAAGCCTCAYGTGGAGCTCACTCCAGGTACCTTAGATGGGGAATAAAACAGTATCGACATTATCTGCCTCAGTGTGCAAGTGTCTTGACAGAGACAAGGAAGACCCACTAGGTGGAGGCCCTGCACTCTCAGTGCTGCTGGAGCCCTGGACTTCACACTTTACTTAAAGTCTTAAGTCAACATAAGGAAGTCAAACTGCAGTCCTAACGCCAGGAAGCAGTTCCTGTCCCAYGGCCTCTCCTTCAACTCACAGCAGGAAGGGCTGCAGCTTCAGCAGGGCCTCAGATCTAAAGCACATATGTACATCTTGTGTTGGCTCTAATAATGAGGTCTTAAAACTATTTACAGTAAGAACAAGCAAGAAAACACCTGGAAATTTGGCTCTGTCCTTCTTACTCATTAGGCTTTGTTAAAGARCAGATAAGAAAAGTCAATATCCTGAGTTTTCAAAGCTTTACTGCTAAAAATCATCTTCTAAAATAAAGCATTATACAATCCTTTTGCCACAACAGGGCAGGTACTTGCCCATCTCCTCCTGTACCCACCTTGCACCTCTTTTTCCCTGCCAAGTATCTGAAATGCAGTAACCCTCCATTGTCTCTTCATGAGCCACACACAACTCAAAGGGAGTAACTTACAGAGCATCCTCAGTACTGCAGTTGTACAGGCAAACCCTGGACGTGCTCTTACAGTATCAGGCTCAGGAGCCTCTTGCAGGACCTGCCTCTGAGACTGGCCTTGGACATCCACTTCAGTGTTGCCCTTCCTCCAGTCCCACACAGAGAGAAGCAGTGATTTAACAATATTTCACATTTAAAATTGCATAAGGAAATATAATTTTGCTACCTCCTGCTGTCTCAGYCCCTGCCAGAGCGCACCTTAAGTTGCTTAGTCATGGCTCATCACTTCTTCCCGGCTGTGATGGCTTTCAAGTTATTTGTCTTCTTCAGGATGTTGGGGACAAAGAGGAGCCCCGAGGCGCGCTCGATGCTCTCGATGGGAACCAGGAATCGTTCGAGCGGTATGTTCTCATCCACGGGGCTGTTGGGCATCACGTAGGAGCGCAACTCAATCTCCCCRCTCTCCTTCTCCAAGATGAGCACCTTGAAGAAATGGGTGGGCACGGCCACGTTGTTCTTCCCAATCACCTGGTACTTGACGTACATCTTCCCATCCGCCTCCATCCTGTGCCAAGAGAAACGGCCGTTACCTTCTGGTCCCATGTTCACCGTCATGGCCCTCCTGCACCACCCAAGTGCCACCTCCAACACAGCCCAAGGCACCCTTTATATAAAAGCCTTRTATTGTATCTCAAGAAAACAGCATTAGAATAGATGCCACAGTTGATTATAGCAGCTGGGCAATAGATGGATCCCACCTGGGAGAGGCCTGACCCTAACTCCTCCTGAAATTACCTACTGAATTGAAAACAGGTAAACTAATTCCAGCCCCGAGAAAATACTTGTCCACAGGCCCTACACACGCGACTGAACTCACTTATTGAACCAGGACTGAGCAGATCCTTTCAGCTTGGTGCAAGCCCAGGAAMCGGCAATTCCTCAGCCTTGCTTAACCCCAAAACGTGCTGCAGCTCTCGAGCGCGGTTCCAACACAGCCCTCACGTTTACCTGGGCAGGAAAAGAGGTCCCGTGCAGACGTAGACATTCTTGTTGTTCCTGGCCAGACTCCTGCTGTACTTCTCAAGGTTATTCCAGGCATTCTGGTTCAAGTGGGGCACCTAGAAGCACAACCAGGGCAGTGCAGGCAGGAAGGTCACTCAGGGGACGCTTCCTCGCGGCTCAGTTTTCCCCAACAACATGAGGCTTCTGCAGGGCACTTCACAGGACAGTAATGGGGGCAATGAGCGTAAGTTGCAACACAGGAGGTTCCATCTCCARGTGAGGAGGAACTTCCTCACTGTGAGGGTGCCAGAGCCYTGGCACAGGCYGCCCAGGGAGGCTRTGGAGTCTCCTCCCCTGGAGAAGGTCTTCCAAACCCACCTGGACACCACCCTGTGCCCCGTGCTCTGGGTGTCCCTGCTGGAGCAGGGGGTTGGACTGGATGATSTCTAGAGGTCCCTCCTGACCTCAGCCATTCTGGGATTCTGTGAATGCTGTGACTGTCACCTCTGCCCTGGAAGCAGCCAAAGGAGAGATCCTGGTTCACCCCCGGCAATGGCCTCTGCGTGTTTCAGGCTCTCATTTCTTACAGAATCATAGAATGKTTGAGGTTSGAAGGGACCTCTAAAGATCATTCGGTGTCCCCAAGCCCCTGCTCAAGCAGGGACACCTAGAACGCTTTTGTGCTTGMGTATTTAAATGTCACTCCTGCAACACGCTGTGCTGAACCAACCCGGGGTCTTTTTGTTATTTAAAGAGATGCRTTTGAAGAAAGAGGTTCTAGCACAAAACCTGCCACCCTCCTGAGCCACTTGGGTCCCTTTCGGTCCCCTTCTGTCCCTCGAGAGGGACTCGGGGATGGCGCCAGGGATGCCTCGGCCCGTCGCGGCGCGGGCCGCGCTACCTGCGGGGCGACGTTGCTCAGGTAGAAGGTGTCCTGCATGGCCTTCTGGCTCCACTTGTGGTTGGCGGCGGCGGCCAGGTGGCCGCGGTCGAAGCCGCTGCCGCGGTAGTCGGCGTTGGTGGCGCGGTGGTACTCGTGCACCGAGTTGTCCTCCTGGAAGTCGCAGGCGGCGCGCTCGGAGGCGCCGCTCAGCGTGTCGCGGTTGAGGCGCTCGATGACCCAGAGCGCGCTGCGGCTCCGCGGGTCGTAGCAGAGCACGTAGGACTCGCGGCTCCGCAGCTGCGCCAGCCCCGGCAGCCCGTACTTGGCGAGCTCGGCGCCGCCCGCGGCCGGCTGC